CACGCTTCTCGAATGTCTGTAGAAGTTTGGCTAGCATGAACGGCGCGGCAGTCTCAGTTGGATGTTGGGTTCCCAGTTGAAGATTGAAGGCATAGTTTTTTTCAAGGCAGCAGCCTAGGGTACGGTATCTCTGGGCAGATGACGTACGGGTTGTTATCCTTGTTTGTCATTGGTCCTCGAAGTGATGGGCTGTTTCCTTACTGGGGTCGGAGATGCCGGGGCGGGAACATAACAGATCCGGTCTCATCTACCCGTGTAGGGGGGGGGGGGGGGGTAGAGCTCCGCACTACACATAATCCAATCGATAAAAAAATCAGGCACAGGTGTACGAGGCGTGTTCCGCCGAATCATGACCCAACCCCCCCGACGAATGCATGAAGGAAGATACATTCCCGCCGGAACACAACACAAAATTTGTTCTGCCTCACCTCTCCGGGTTAAGGACGAGGTCTTCCAAGGGGACGCCGAAGACCCGTCCCCTCCCCTTAGCGCCTCCTCGACGGCCGCCCATCACGAACGCACCCGGATATCCTCCCGCCCCGGCCCTGGGACCAGCCGCTGTCATCTTTCGCCCGGAACTAGACGCTAAGTGCTCGTCGCCTGTCGCTGCGGCCGCCGCCGCCGCCGCCGCCGCCGCCGCCGCCACGTCTCTTGCTGCTTCTTCCGGGTGAAGCAGGGCTGACGCTGATTTGGCGGTGCCTCCTCGCAGCTCCACCCACCCGTCGCGGGTGCCGCCGCTGCTGCTGGCCTTGGCCTTGCTATCGTTGTTGTTGACGTCATCGTCGTCGCCGAAGATGTCTTGGATCGTCTCGTCTAAGGACTGGACCGCCTTTTTTGATGACGGACACACCACAGTGTTAGTTTGGTGAGGCGCGTGAGCAACTAGGAGAGGCGTGTGCTTGCGCGTTATGCGCTGGGGATATTCTACAGTGGAGCGGGGGGGGGGGGGGGGTACACTGTTCGTACTGGAGACACTTGATTGAGCACCGCGCAGCGAGTGGAGGTAGGCACGGCTAGCTCAGAAGCATGTCCTCTTGGCCAAACCATCATACACCACAACAGGAAGAGCCACGGAGCCCCTACCCCACCCCCACCGGCCACATCAGTCGACGCCGATCCAAACCGTAGAGAGGCACGGATTGCGCCATACTGAATGAATCACACAGCACCCTGAGACGTTCACCACAAGCTACAACACCTGAAACATGGCCATCTGGGATGCACTACATGTTCGGTCTTTCAGTTTCAAGAACGGTTGGTTCCGGACGGGGACGGGGTATGTACCTTGTCGACCTTGGAGCTGACTGTGGCAAGCACGTCGTCCAGTTGCTCGTTCCAGTTCCCGTTTGCCAGCTGCGGGTGCCCCGAAAATCATCAGGCGGCATCGAGACCCCCAATTCCGGTAGCGCCGTGCAAGAGCAAGGCATCGGTTCGGGGGTGGCAACGGCGCGCAAAAGATCACCCGCATGGAAAAACATCGCGCAGCACCGAGGACAGGCAAGAGCGGGTGAGTAGCGAGCGCCGGAGATTGGCAGCGGGACGGAACCAGGTAACTCAAGTGCACGTGGCCGGCACGCCAAGACGTAACACGACGAGTGAATGTCCTGCGACGTGAGAACCAGTACGAACGTCGTCGAGAGAGGCGGATGCATGTGCTGGCCGGGGGGGATGATTCAAGCGACGTCGGCGGTGCCACCTCCCGCCGCAAGCACGCTTCCTCACAGAGAAAACCGGAGCAGCATCCTTGACGATGCCTTACGCACACTACTGTCGCTCCTGTTCAACCGCCTCGAACCTTGCACTAAAAGTAATTTAGGTGACACAATTTCCCCGTCGCAAGGACGGATGGCGTGGGGCTTCCATGACAGCGGATCATGTACCGACCACAGAGGCGGGTTAATCGGCAGGTAGCTGCCCCACACTGTCAAGAACCTCAAAGCTGCCCAGCATCAAAGCCAACCCAGGTTTCCCTACACCAATTATCAGGCCATCACAGCGAGGCGTACAAAGGAACTTTGACGATGAACAAAACAATGTTTCTCCGTGAGAGACATAATCCTAAAACGGGCACGTGTCAAAGAAAAAGGCCCCCATCCCTGCGACCGGACCTGATCGATCTCCGACAGGGCCGAGGCGGCCCACCCCCCCATATCCGACCGCCTCCCCGCCGCCGCCGCCTCCTCCTCCCGCTGCCGCTGCCGCTGCTCCTGAAACCATGACACCGAACCGTGCTCAGCGGGTGGGACCCTCGCCGTTCCTGCCGCTGCCGACCTACCCATCGCCCCTCCCGCCACCGCCGTCTCATCGAACGAGCCGGGGGCGGTACGCGCGCGGGTACCCGAAGCAGCGGCTGCGGCGGCTGCGGCGGCGGCTGCGGCTGAAGATGCTTCTTCCGCGCGTCGGTCCCACTCTTCTTCCTCTTCCAGGATTGGCCAGCGCGGCGGGGTGTTGAGAGCCGATTGGTCGGTGTCGATTGCGACGTCGAAGGCTTCGAGGGCCGCGCACAGGCGCAGGAGGATGATCGATCCTTCTCGGCATCGTGCCAGGGCTGTCGGCTCGTAGAACACCTCGTTTTGACAGGGAAAGGGCGCGTGGACGGAGGAGGATGCAGGGAGCAGAGAAACTATTAACTTACGGCTGAACCGGGGTTAGCGGGGGGGGGACCGCCTTCGTATTATGTTAGTCAATGAAATAGAGAGGGGGTTTCGCAGCCCTAACCCTAATTCAACCCCATACCCCCTACTATGACCAACACTATCATCCTCGTGAAGGCTACTGCAGAGGGGGGGGGGGGGGGGGGAGTTGAGGATACCGTACGCACAGCCGTCTCTCTCACACAGCGGGCATGCCAGCAAAACAATTCGCTTGGGTTCGGGATTTCTTGGAAGACGCAAGCAGTTTCGAGAGGTTCAAGTCGGATCCCAATCACGCATATGCTTCATGTCATCGGCAACGAAGCCTGCTCCCCAAACCGGCACAAACACCGCACATCCAAACATCTGGCAGGCAATGTAGCTCTACGGGGCAGGGCAAGCCGAAAAAGAAACGCGCCCCAACGACAACCGGCCTACACACCTTGACGAGCCGGTCTTCCTCCAGCAACGCCGCCACGCAAGACTCCAGGCACTTGCACACCAGGCACTGGCGGATCCACGCCCTCGCCCTTCCCAGCGGCGTCGAAACGTGCGACAGGGAGGCCACGGCCCCGACCGTGTTCCGGACGCTCGCAAGACGGCGCTCTCGCGGGCCCTGCCGGCCGGCCCCACCCCCCCCAATCGTAAGAGGGAGCCGCTCCACCCGCTCAAGGAAGGCCCAAAAGGGTATCACGCCTGGGACCGGAATAGGCAGTGGGGGGCACGGCGGTGTGGAGAAAGGGGTAAGGTACAGGGGTATCTAGATACTGAATCGTGCGTGGGGGCGGGGGGATTGGCGGCAAGAGAGCCACGTTGGAAGAGGCTCCAACGGGTATCTCTCTTTCAACGTTTTGACGATGCCCACGATAGTTGGGAAGCGAGGAGGCGTCATAGTGTATTATTGGAGAGGCTAGATGGACGCTAACTCACCATACACGTGAAAAATCCCATAAAAGAGGGGGGCACCGAAGTTCGACCTGGCATCGAATCATCGAAGTGAAACAAGCGGGGGGTTTCAAGATACCTGACACGCTACACTGTATTGTAACGGCAGGACACGAGCGGACTACCCCGGGGAGCCAGATGATCAACTATCCTACGATCTCCTCTAATCCCCCCACCCCATCTCCCTTGCCACGAAGTGAACACCATTCAACAGAGCAACACGAAAATACCGCCAGCCTAGCACAAAAACAAGCAGTGTCAATGTAGTAGCTTGAGTGCAAAGGCTACACTTCGGAGGCTTTTGTCTCCTTGTCGCAGGTGTAGGCGATCCCGAAGAAACCGAGACCCGCACACCAATATTAACCACCGATCCAACCAAACTCTCGTACTTATTTCAATAGCGCCAAAACCTCTTCAACCCCAAAGACTAGGGATGACCCTTTCTTCCTCTACCGTAGTGGTAGTGCCTCTCTCACCGAAGTCCTTAACCCGGATGCGATGGAACAGGCACTGCTCGATGGCGACGCACAACGCGACAGCCTCGGCGGTGTCTCCTCCAATCAACGGTGGCTGTTGACGCCGTGGAATCCCGCCCGTTTCGGAGACCATGCCCATGGCGCCGCCGGCCTGCTGCGGCGGGGCAACCCCCTCCTGCTGCTGCTTGGCTTGCAGCGCCGCCAAGGCTTGTGCGGCATTTCTAAGGTTCTTCACAAGCCTCGCTCTAGTGGCAGCTCGCTGAAGCAGAAGTATTCGGTGGTGCCGGGGGAAACGATATATTGGAAAACGCAGTTAGGCGGGAGTATGGTGGGAAGCGGGGCGTCTAGCGTGTCGTATTGGTATATTGTAGTTTGCGTTGAGTTATGTCGGCGGGGTTGAAGTTGGTCACATGCTCCAGTATTCAAGGAACAAAGAAGCATCGGATTTAGCAAGGTTGCATTTTGAAAACATTGATTTGTGCATGCCGTCCAATAGAGAGGTTTGCGCCTACCTGAGTACAGTAGTCGAGAGAGGCTACGACCGATACAAACCCTTGGTGCCGACCCAAGTAATTGAAAAGACGGGAGTTTTGAGACAATTCAACTACAGGTGTGCATTGCATATAGACAGACTGCTGTGGGCAAAGTGTCTCGAAATTGCTGTGGGCTCTGGGTGTCAGTGTGCACATGCGGTGAGATTGTGTCAGGGCGCCTCTTAAGCGTAGGTTTATGTGCATGGTACCTTTCAGCAAAAATGTAAACCCCGGAGTACTCTGTAATGCGAGCGGATTCCCCACGTAGACGGCGGAGAGGCTGCATGTGGTCGGGTTAGGTATCGCAGAACCCGTGACGTGTTGGTTGGTATGCCTACAATAATACAGTGCACAGCACAGACGGCAGTTGGAGATATTAAAATCTTCAACTACAGCAGGCATGTCCCGGTCTAATGCCTACGTATCGCATCATTGTCCATCAAAGAAACATGCCAGAAAATGCATTACGTACATAGTACTCCAACTCTGAGGCAACTTGGTGCCAACGTTTTCCATTGTTGCCTGCGTGGATGTGAAAAACGACAAGCCAGCAGACTTGACAGCGCACCGCAGCGGCTTGTGGTAGTCAGAGAAGGCTGTGCGACGAAGCAAGAGAGCAGGCACAACAACAGCAGACGTGTCTGACCTGTCTAGCTTCCACCTGCTTGCCGCTGTCGCGGCTGTCCTGAGGACCAGAGATGATGGAAGACAGCCAGCTCATCGCTTGCACCGCTGGTGGCACCACCACGACCTGCCACAGAGTACAGCGTACAAAATACAGAGGACAGAGGACAGCGGACAATTGTCTCCTGGCTCAGCCTGCACAGGTGTGTGCAGCTTTGTTCAGGACGTGGGAGGGGGGGTATGAGCGGCCCCGCAAAATGAGGATCTGAAACGGCCGGCATTCCAACAACAAAAAAATCCCGACGACAGAGAGAAGAGAGAGACAGGAAACCGAGCGCGCGCGGCACGTCTGCGTGCCCCTTGCAGCTTCACCTACGCCAAGCTCGCAGCGCAAAGTTGGATCACGAGCTAACGGTAACGGACGCAGGAGCGAATCGCAGGCCTTTGACAGAAACTCTACAATATTATCTTCAACACCGCTGTTTCGATCCGCCGAGACCTGCTGGCAAAGGTGACGTCGGGTTACCTCGGAGGTGTTGTGTCCCGGCGAGAGTGCACCAGAAAATTCACAGACCCTTCTACGCTGAGGCGTTCAGCTTCACAACGGGGGTAAGACGCGGGCGCTTTAAGGTGTTGTTGTTGTTGACCGACTGAGGCATGTATGCCATGTATCATGCCCCAGCCACCGACCAGCCACCGAAAGAGCGTCGTCGCTGACGTGAGAGGGACGGAGTTTGTTCTCTCGTTGTGTGTGTGCATCAGGTCGAGCCATGGACGCTGTTGTTGGGCTTAGATAAAGCTTTTTTATGCATTCTGGTCTCGACATATTTCGAGCGTGCGCGTTCCGTATTGATGGAAAGTATTCGGTGGGCTCTCGGGGTAAATGACATCGTCTGGATCACCGCACCGGCTGCACCAGAGGAGTTCGCGACAAGTTCCTGGCGAACACACAGCAGTACAGACAAATTCGCAGTAAAAACACCATCTGCACGAGACAAACAACGTTCTAGTCTAGTCTCTAGAACCTGTAGTCTGTTGAAGTCTCTAAATTTTAGTCCTTCCGGTTTACGTACATTTGTGCTCCCACAAGAAGTGATTTCCCCCAACTGACGAACCTCCAGTCCAAGAGAAAATACGAAAATGTTTGTACGGTATGAACATCCACCGGTCAGCTGTAGAACACGCACGGGAAAAACTCACCGAGGTTCCTTCTTCATATTGGTTGATAGGCGATTTGACGTTATGCCTGAAAGTTCGGCAGGATGCGCAGAGTGCCAAAACTTGTTTTCTTCACATCGACAGCGCGCGCTTGGTCACCTATGGCAGCGGTGTGGCGACGGGCATATCGATCCGCGACCTGCTATTTGTTACCTACGGCCACCGCACGGCCTATTAGCGGCCGCACACTGGTCGAGAACGCGGCGAGAGGGCGCTGGAGAGGGTTAAGGCTAGGAACCAACGCCCGACCAATCAGAGGCGTGAAACCGCGTCGATAGGAAGAGTCATTAACAGGCCGAGATACATATGATGGTAGCTATCGTGTTCCGTATGGCCGCACCTGCGACGGTGGTGTGGTTCTCGCACCGAAACGTGAAACATCCATACCTTCTGCCCGACGTGTGCAACCGCCATGATGCCTTGCGTGCAGGCTGTTGGGAGCATCACGAGATACAGCATGGGGGCAAAGAACTCGAAGAATGAGGACACGGTAATTTTTCTGTGTGTCGTTCTAGAGTATAGTACATGCATAGTGCGGTGTTATATGATTCTGTCGGGTTCAGCTCTTCTCACGCCATACCCGGGTATTGAGGGTTGAAGGACGAAATTGACTTGTCTGTCGGGCACCCCGCTGTCCCAACTGTGGTGCACCCATGCGTATACCGACATAATCAAAGTTTGTTGTGTGCTTAAATCGAATGCAAACGTTACTGGAAGTGGGAGCTGTCGTCAATCCTCGCACGCAGTGCGAGTAGCGGCACGTCACTTTGGGTTGGAACGCAAGAATATTCCTACTCGGAGAATTGTTTTCCATCTTCCTGTGTTATCTCCATTTTGAGTCCAGCGCTTGCGTCACACTTCCTCCTACACACACGGTGCCGTGTTTCCACGTAGTCGCGCCCACCCGTTATATTATCTCTGTTTCACCACAGAACAGTTATGGGTGTGTTTTCTTGGCCACCCCCACAATCACGTTCCGCTGGATTATTCAAAAGTCGACGTCGCCACTCGTTCTTTCACGGCGGAGTGTTGTGCAGCGCCACATGTCTCACGACTACATCCCACTGCTGAACCTCGCCTGGACTCCGGCATACACAACAGGTAGAGCAAGGGGCAGAGCCACCGCCATCTCCTGTGCCGAAGGGGGCGGTCAACCGCCGCAGACGCTGCAGTGTCAGCGCAGAAGTGGACGCATCTAAGGTGATACGAAGTATGACCCTGCTGTGCACCGTTCACCCGTACATCAGAGAACACCTTATTGTGCATGCATGCACCCACAACCGTAGCGAACACGATCTGAAGCATGTTCCACCGCAATTCAGGCTTGGGGAAGCTAAGGCAGATCCGCATCAACGTCATCTCAGAAATATATTTCCTTCGCGTTGCACGTTTGGATATGCTGTTGGTGATTTCGAGGCGGAAGTGGTGGAACTACCACCACAATGGCGATAGATAGCTTGCACGGTCAGCAAGACGAGTTGCTCTGGAGCGCATCGGGTGTTGAGCGCCATACACCAATAACGGGTACTACGAAAACAGTAGCAAATAGCGCCATCCAGTGGGTTACAAAGCACTCACACAGTCCCCCCTTCGTCCCACAAAAAACAAAGCAAATCATCGACTGATGGACTCTTGTATATCCTGAAGAATCTAACAAACCACGAACCGTCCAAGGTGTGCATGCCCTTCCAACAATTATCCGATGGAAGCGATCACCTTGTTTCGGCAGGCACCACGGATAGACGGGTTGCCTCTGCAAAAATCATAAAAACGAAGGCAATGACTCCCCGTACAATCTGCCCAGAACATACCGAATATGTTTTTCTTCTTGTCGGGAAAGGAGGCTTTTCAGCGACCAAATAGTCACCCAGGCATCCCCCCGATCTGCGTACAACAGAATATCGCAGGCTTTCCTAAGATATAGAGGAAGCAAAGCAAACGTCCTGTTTCTGACCCCCGCCGAATGCCACAGGCACCCCGCGTCAAGAAGGTAGTTCCCAAGACCGATGCGCAGCTGAAGGACATCGAGAAGGCTATCAGCAGATGCTTCCTGTTTTCCTCGCTATGTGAAGCTCAGCGCAAGGAGGTAGGTGTGTTGGCCTGGAATCCACCTTGTTACCACAGTATATCCCCATGCGTTTGGGCCGTGTCTGGTTTCCATGGTTTATACGTTCAGCTTCGAATTTTCCTTTTCCTGTCTTACACCTTTTCTTCGCTTGCAACCCATCTACTTTGTACCTTTGGTGTTCGATGTTTCTGATGGTTGTTGTTCTTGGTTCCCCACCACGCGTATCTTTCTGCCTTTCGTGGAACAAGGCGTTCATCGCTCGTCGCGACTGGTGTCACGTGATGTTCGATTGCTTTTATTTGTCATGAAGCGTTGCACGTGTCTTCGTTTGCTGCAAGTTTTCGTAAAACATACCTTTTTGCACCGCTCTGGTACCAGAGGGAGATTGACTCTCCGCTCCATGCCGCCCTCTTGAGCAAGAGCAAGAAAATTAGCAAGCCACGTTCAGTAGAAAGGCCACACAACCTGCCGACGGGGCATCGCTTCAATCCGTTGGCTGATGTTCTAGTAATGTCGACAATGTACCTTCATGTCGTATACCAGGTGGTTGACTCCATGGAGGAACGGAGGTATCAGTCGGGCGACGCTGTCATCGAGGAGGGGGGGCCCGGGGACTTCTTTTACGTCACGGGCTCGGGCGAGCTCGAGGTGCGTCCCTCGAGATCTCCTTGCACTATGTTGTTGTTGGTGCCGCTGTGCCGATGCAGTTAGCTGCTGCTTCGAATTTTTGTACTTTCTTGAGCTCCAACCTAAGGTTTTAAAGGGAATTCCTTGGTCGGACGCAACGCTGCCGTGGTCCTCAGTCAGCTCGGCCTTCTGTACCTCGTTCAAAATGCTAGTTCTGGTGGTGTCCACAATTCCAGGGACGTAACCGGTACGCAGTGCAGGTACAGCACGGCAAGATATGCGTTGGGGTTTGTGAATGTCCCCGAAACGTCCTTCCTGACCTTCAAGATGCAAGCCAGAAGACTGTACGCGATCGGTCTGTTGAGGAAAAGTGTGCTTGTTGGGCACAGTGCATGCTGAGCACCCAGGTCGTCGTCGCAAATTAACACGGCGTCACACACAGCTGTTTGAGTGCACGATCGCATTGCCAATGGACGAAAATTTTTCTTGCGTGACACCAGGACGCGAAAAATTCGAACACGCAAAGTTGACGCAATGATTAGCTCGATTTTCGCTGTGCTATGTTAGTGTGTGTCCTGCGATAAGTTGATTTTGGTGACCAAGGTCGAACGCCGAACCTGAAAACGAAAGCGGCGAGGATGAATACTCAGCTAAGCTGTTGTCCCCTTTTCCTCTCCCCCGCCTCACGGTGACAGCCGTATACAGTTCTACCATGGTTTCTCTTATCCGTCACACATCGGCCGTGTCGGTTCCTAAATACTAGTGAAGGCAGACAACGTTGATTCCAAGCACGTATACGATAGCGGCGGGAACGTGTGCTGGGGTGCATTGCTCCCCCACACGGCATGCGTCAATAGCCGCATTCCGTTGTTCTCCACGATATCTCCACAATAGCACATCTCTTGGGGACTGACCTTGTCACTCCCTTTCGAGATCAATGTCTGGTACAGAAACCGGAAGGAGCCTACGGTGTGGCCCTCCTTCTCCCAACGGACGACAAAGCTGAAGATATGGGGACGAAAAGTCGAACTTTTCTTGAAAACTGACCTTTAACTAGGGCACTAAGGAGTGATGCGGTGACTGTCGTTATGTTGTGACGGTTCTTTCCACAATCCTCAGGCGTGGCCACTACCGCCGAGAAGTCATGGGTGATGACATCGCTCGGCTGTGGTAGCTGGGGACCTTACCGCCCCAGCCTTCCATTCTCGCTGCTCCCTAACATATTGAATTTAGATTGGAGCAACGGTGAGCTTGACGGACTGTCGGATGAACATTTCAAGAAGCGAAATATGAACTACACCACGACGATTGCGTGAAGACCCCCCAATAAATCGCCGTTGCCACCCGCTGCCGCTCGCGTGCGCTTCGTCGTTCCAAATGTCGCACAAAACTAGGTGTTCATCGCGGGGAAGAACAACGATGAGCCCCTCCGCACGCTCAAGTCCGGCGACGCCTTTGGCGAACTTGCCCTCATGTACAACTCCCCTCGCACAGCCACCGTCAAGGTATTGCGTCTAGATTAGAAAACCATTGCCTCACGGTGGAGAACTTAATTTAGCCCACGGACATTCCATCGTCAAGATCATAGGGCCCAGGAAGCAGCCCAACCGTCTTCAACTCCCGTCGTACAACCAGCCTTAACAGTCTTAACAAGGTCTTGTTTTTAGATTGATTGAGTCAGACATGGTCATCGTTGGTCGAGCGACGTACCGCGTTGCGCAGCTAATGGGCACATCATGGCAAGAAAGCCAACAAGAAATACACTCCCTCCCCCTCGCTGCACTTCTAACACCTCTAGCAACCCTGCCGAACGTTTGGCTCATCAAAGCCTAAGACTTTCCTTTCCTGTAGGCGAAATTTGGTCCAGGTACTGAAACAGTGACTGTCTACGGCAGTACGTGCATCAAGATGGTGCATGACACCTAGAAGGGTTCTACCCTAGCACCAATCCAACCAAGAACAACGCTACGCGCGTATTCAGGCGGTGACGGGGTGCTTGGTTTGGGCGCTGGATCGCACAACATTCCGGCACACCATCCTTGAGGCTGGGCAGCAGCGCCGCCAGAAATACGAGGTCTTCCTCGCCAACGTGAGTCCTTTCGGTCGATGCGGTACATCGTAGGGGAAGCGCTGGAGGTATGTCGTCGGCTGGACTCGCTTTAGCGGCGTCGCCAAGAGGCACGAGGTCTCCTTTGCTACCGGAAAGCTGTTGCATATCCTCCAGGTTTTGTATCGAACACATCGACGGGAGGGGGTTGGTATCATGTCTTGACATCAGAGTCACGACAACGAAATGACAAGGCCATACCAAACATCGTATGAACCACTCGATGTGCCGCACGAACGCCAAGCGTTGTATTTTTGGCAGGCTGAAAGCCGAGATCATTTGCCAACTTCAACTTCAAAACAACGATAGTGGGTATCGTTTCATTTGCCCTTCGTGGTCTGGTAGACGTGATTTGCTTTTTACGTGGGCGTACCTCCCCATTGCATCACAGGTGGCCTGAGATACCGCACCTCGGTATAAATGTTTTGAGTTGAAAAAATACGTCACGCATGTTCCGAACGGGCGTGGGATCTTCGGTGCCATTTGATTCTCTGAAGAGTGAATTATCATCGTAGTATGCCATTTCGTGTGCGTCTTGAGTGGCACCAGGTCGGCCTCTTGGTGGCGTTTTCCGTAGTCCTCTTTAAAAGGGGATGATATCTTGCGCGGGCATGGTATCTGTATTCGCCGTCGGCAGCCTCTATCTCAGGTCCTGACTACTCCCTCGGACGTCAACCAGGTCTTGTTCTTATGTTGCTACGTTGCTGATGCTGCCGTTATCTCCGCAAAATAATATCGATTTTCAGGTAGAAATCCTGAAGCGCGCGAACCTCAGCGCGACGGACATCGCGCAGCTAGCGGATGCCGTGGAGCCCATCGCTTTTGCCGATGGTGAGGGCGGACCAAACAGCCTTGATTTGAGACATGTGCCAGAAAAAGTAGAGAAGGGGAACGAGCAACACATGTACCATTCAAATTGTGCGTGTTCGTCTTATCTGTTCTGGCGCCAGTCTTCCGATTGTTCGGTGTAGATGTTTGGCGTATCAGCCGGAGTCACACTGGGAGGAAAACATGTACATGACGCTAGCCTGGATAGAACAATGAAGGACAGGCGGCGTAGAGACGCTGTAGACGTTACCAAGTATTCGTTCGTCCGTGCGCACCAAGAGTCAGAGCTCCGCGTATTCTCCTGTTGAGGCGTCGGCAGCAGCTCACCCATAACTGTCAAGGACGTCTGAGTCGATGATGATTTCTAGCCTCAGTGGTTTTCGTGCTACAGTACTGCACGCTACACCTGCAGGTATCGCGTCAACGTGCTCATTATCATGTATCAATGTGCGTCACTCCCCCCCGAAGGTGACACGATAATCAAGGAGGGCGATGACGACCGGAGCCTGTTCAAGTTTTACATCGTGGAGGACGGGGAGGCCAGGGCGTACGTGCATGAGGACGGGGAAGAAGTGCTCATGAGCCATCTGCACCCGGGTGAGATCGAAACATCCAAGATACGGGGGGCGGGGGGTGGCAATTGACTGCAACGCACCACCTGAACGAGTTGGCCAAGGACATGCACCCCTTTCGAGGTGGAGCGGTATGGGGGGAGAGAGAGAGATGAACGTACGTGCCGATTGTTTGTACGCTGGTTCCGGTTTAGAACAAGAACAACGGAGATTTACAAGGTCGGGGTTCGTTCACTATACGTTCGGAACCTGGTGCTGCCACAGGGCATCCTAAGGATACTCAACACATGGTTAATGATATGGTGCAAAGTTTCCAAGGAGAAGAAGACACCATGCAGAAGAGATAACAAACAGCTTCTTGTACGGCGACGAGATTGAATGGACAAGAAAAAATGACAGAGAAGCTACCAGCGCGCGGAACAGGGGCATTTTTGTGAACGGCTTTAGCCTAGCGTGAGTATTGCAGGACAAGGGTGTGGGGCACCCTGCGCTCGAGGTTCGAGGGCAGCATGCATGCACTCCATCTGATTAGGGGGGGATGTTCGGGTAACCATTCTCAGCACAACAGTACCGTGTAAGGAGAAGCTCGCCACTCTCAAGAACGACGGGAACAAGCAATGGCAAGGTGCAGCTACTTTTTCTTTCTGTACATGCGAACGCTCGCCCTTGGCTTAGAAAAGAAACTACGACGACGCGCATAATCTGCTTGTGGTAAGGTTTCAACATGTATGCGCGATGCACCCAACGAACGTCAGGTGACCATTTTGGGGAGAAGGCCTTGGTCGAAAAAACACCCCGGACGGCCACCGTGAAAGCCCACGGCCCCCTCAAGTGCGCCGCCCTCAGCATCGCTGGTTTTGAGCGGCTCATGGTGAGAAACGTTGAAAACATGGTGGATCACGGAAATATGATACCTGCTGTAGTCTGCTTACAATAACATGTTGATGAAAGCAGATCTGGTTCCGCGTGTCTCGCTTTCGCACACAATATGTGGCGTTTCGGTGTGCCGAAGGTGTCTTGCAGCTCGGCTTACTTATGGCAGCGCAAAACTTTCGAATAAATACCCTGTGTTCTCTCTGAACGCGTCGCAAGGAAGAGCGCGGGGTTGGGCCAACAAATATTGCCCGGGGGTTCAATGATCGGGGGACACAAAAGCGACGAATGGAGGTTGTGGGGTGACGTTCTCATGGCCGTGGTTCACGTTCACACGTTGCCGTATCCGCAATTGAAAATTGAGGATGACGCGAGGAAATAGCTAGAGCCAATGGGGTAGATAGATCCACATGTGTTGTTGTTTCCTTCGCGCTAATTGCCGGTCCAACCGACCCGGAAGTCTTTGGTGGCCACAGGCCAACTAGCCTAAAGGGCATAGACTACACCACGAATACCAAAGATAAAACGAATGTGAATAGGACGGAAAAAAAAATGAGCGTAGGGACAATACACCGGGGTGGAGGAGCGTCAATGTGTGGCGTTCGATGTCACAGGTACGTGTCGTTGCCTATCTTGTTTCTCAATCTCTGATCCTGGTGTCGGCCTGCCACGGTTCGTCCTTGACAACAAAACAGGGCCCTTGCGAAGACATCCTTACCACCGCTTACAACAATCCCGCGGATGTAAAGACCGGAAGGCAAACTCCTAGGGGAGGGGCTTGACATCCTTGCACGGCCTTCCTCCTTCAGCTAACCTCTCTAGTCACCACAAGCCTTCTCCACCTCTGCATGGAGAGACCAAACAAACGACTTGCGTGTTGAGGAGTTTCAGTCGCGGCGGGGGTTGGTGGATGTGCGTCGAAGTGGCGACGGGTGCTGGCTACTATTCTCGCCTGGATGGAGAGCTACTCGCACCCAATACAACGTTGAGAGACACCGGGCTGTTTACGGGCATTGATGGCGCCAAGAGGGCTGAAGCTCGGAGGAGGAGTGGCCAGACGTCCGTCATAGCGTAGTACGTGGCAACACGCTAATGTATACGCTAGGATACGTGTTACCATGAAGTAGTTGAGCGGACTCCCGCACCGGATTGGGATGGCCATTGTTTCGGTGTGGCGGACGAACGAGCGGTACTCGTGCCGAAAACGAAAAGGAGCGGCGAGGAGTTTCATGGCGTTCAACATGGGAACCGTGCGTGCGCCCATCTGCCCCATTAAGCAAGGGTTCCCAAGTCATCCATCTTCGCAACTACGAGCATAGGTTAGAGAGTGGGGAGTGTGCTTTCGTGTGCTAGGCAGGCAAGCGTAGCTTACAAGGTTGTCCATAACGTAGACAGCGAGTGGTCTTACTCCGTGTGATGGAGTGGGAGAAGCGAGGGAGGAGGGGGGGGTCGGGAATGGGCGCGTCGTACGTACATGGTAGATGGCATCCGGCGGGCGGTAGAAGGTATTTATTAAATCGAGGATAGCAAACACACCAGTTTTCGTTCTGCAGGGAAAAGCGGTGTGAATATCGCACATCCTCCTTGCCGCGGTGTCAATGCAGAGCTGCACCTTGCACCGCAGTGGGCCCAAAGGCCCTTTGAAAGTGTTCTCGGTGCTGGTGGTGAAGCAATATATATCATGCCGTGGTTATCGAGGGAAATGAACATCGTTTTGTCGCTCTTGGATGAATTCCGATTGATCAGATCCGGCGTTTCAACGACAACCAAAATCGCTAGACGACAAGACTGCGCATACAATATAGGAGGGATCACACCAATTCCTGCACACTGAGACACAACGCGACTGTTCGGGGGTGTGATTACATGCATCTAAGTTCTGGGTACATTGCTGCATGGATACCCGGGCCTCTCCTTTCTGGTCGGGGACGGAGATCAATCAGAGCCTCTTCGATCGAACATTGTTCAGCTCATTGTAGATCTTCATGACGCTATGATAGAAAAGTGTGAAGCGAGAAATCCCCAACCTGCGGTTGAGCTACATAGTAAGCCTAAAGCCCTTCCTTCCCTCACCCCATCTCGGCTCGATATCCCGATTTCTGGGCACACTTGTGAACATGCTGCACTGACCATCATTCGCTGACGAAAGCAAGCTTCCCGAGAGTGACAAAGGCAACGGTGATCGATTGTACAGACACCTCGCTGACAAAGGCCTACGCCTTGCCCGGCCTCCTCGGCCTCAAGACACGATTGACCAACCAACCTCCCACGTCCTGCCTTCGTCTAGCCTTGACACCTTGCTGCTTGCTTCTCCACCGGTACACAATAATGAATGCACGGAGGAAACCTACTGTGCTATCCCGGGTTCAACGCCCCATCCCATTGACACGAACGGCGTCCTCCGATACACTGCTGTGCCGCGCCACCTACTAAAACAACGGGCCTATGCATACGATTGTGTGTACTAACCCGATGACTTCGCTTGGACGCCTTCAAAGTCCGTTGAACGTCGAGACAATCGTCTATTTGCTCAAACTTTCTTCGTCTATTGCAAAAATTGCAACCGCTTTGTTGACACGATTCAGCAGGTACCGTAGAAAAACTGGTGACCCGCGATTTGTTTTGGCGCGTGTGCGCAAGTGTGCATCACTGCCCCAGATATTCAGCTTCACGGATACGTACAAATAGGACTCCTGGGGTGCTCTGAGCTGAGCACAGGCACTCGTCAATCGCTTCCGAGAAATACGCCTATTCAGCCCGGCGATAACAAGACACATGCGCAAATGCATGACTTGGGTTTCCTGCCACAGTCAACCGTTCTCTACCCGCAAAACCCTCGAGCAATGTATTCGGACAGGGCCATTCCTTCAAGCCCAGCGGTGCTTTTGACGTCATGGGGTGGCGCCCGGCTAAAACCTCCGCAACGACTGGGTACAACGTTTCGCCCGACTTCCGCCTCCCTTGCGACATTTCGAACAAGCGAAAAAAAAATCACTACTGTAGCACGGCAACACAATCGTAAGGGTAACGAAATGACAAAAACTGGGGCTGGCCTTTCCAATCAGCCAGTTGCCCGTGGAAGAAAAAGACGACAGAGAACATGACGTCGCCTGAAATGAACGACCCTGCGAGATCTGTTGGAGGGGTCTTCATATGCTGCTTTCACGCCCAAGCGATACGCATCATGGTGCCGGGAAGGGTTGGGGCTGGTTGGGAATGGGCGCCCTCCGTCAGCAAGCATACCGGGCCAAATGCGGGGGTCACGTGGTTGTTGAGCGCGCAAGATGCCTAGCGCGAATTCGACGGTGGCGTCACCGGGCGGCCCAAGCACACCACCGACGACATGCAAATTTTCACACGGCGACACCCCCTGACCTGTTCTTCTGCAAGAGAGCTGACCCGCGCTCTGCAGCGTCGACCGTGTCTCTCCTCGGTCAGTCGAAGACCGTGTGGAAGTCGAGCTTCGTCGCGACGTTCTCCCGAGCCACTGCCCCCCCCGCAACGCCCACGTCCTCGGCACGGCCACCGCTTCCGCCTCCTCCGCCGCCGCTGCACCCCGCCGAGAGGTGTCCCGCAGGAGCACTAGCATCGCCATCTGCGGCCGTGGGTCTTGTTTCTGGCGTTTGGGCACGGGCATCCATCCTTGTCGGGCCCCTTGTGACCTCTACTCCCGCTCCTCGTGGGCCGAAGGCTTTGTTGCCGTGGGTGATGTTGATGTCGCCTCGATACGCGGTTGTTGGATGCTGGCCAAACCAACCCCCGCCGTCTTCCTGCATCTGCTCGCCCCTGCGCACGGCACCGCCAGCCGCCCCATTGCTCTGAAATCTGCGTCGTCCTTCCTCCGTTCCTTGCGGCCATCCGCGCCCGGGACCTCCCGCCGCCGCCCCCCTTCCACCGTATGCTCCGCCGGCTTGGCTTCCGGCCATTCTAGAACCAGCCAAAGGGGGAGCTGAAACCCCTTGCCTCGACTGGGCCCGTTGATCTCCACCCCTCCGGGAAACGGTCGCGCTGATCGGAGCGGTTGACGCCGAGGTCAGAGGAGAAGCATGAAACCCGCGAGAGTTTGGAGTCACCGTTGATGCTCCCCCCACACCTGCCTCCTCCCCTCCGCGCCCGCTCCCGCGGCCGTCCGTGACCCCGCGCTTCGTCGACGGGGGTAACGACGAATTTGGGTACGGTTCACTGTACTGAGATGCCGCCTCATTCCGCCCAACGGCGGCGGGAAACGTGGTTGGTCGCCAGGACGACGTAGGTGCGCCTGACCCTACCGGCTGATTCGGGCCAAACCTATTGCCGTCGGCCAATGTCGCCATCGCCGGTTTCCGAGTTTCCAGGTTGGCTCCTTTTTTCTAATGATAACCAGGCGACGAGGATATAGGAGAGTTTCGTCAGGATGACGGGGTAAGGGAGTATTGGGAGATATTCCAGCATGGAGATACGGGTGAAGGGACGGCACGGGAATTGGTTGATGTGAGCGTGGTGATTGGTCGCTCTGGTTGGCTCGGGGTGACGCCCGGACTAGCGTATCGATTTAGGCAGTATCCGCGTTGTTCTGGACGGGATTTGAATCCAACATGGCAGACCAGCAAGCCATACCGCATTCCCGAAATCGTATTTGGCGAGTCTTACCGAGTGCGCTACGTCTCCTCGGTCGAAGAAGCTGCTGGTGTTTGCCCCAGCCTTCCAGCCCCGACCACCTCCACCACCACCGCTAGACCCCGACGCCGCCCCACCGTACCCCCCGATAGGAGAGGAAAGCGGAGACGGATCGCGCACCCCCGCATCATGGTCGCCTCCTCCCCTTGTGCCACGAGTTATGAAGCGGTTCCTGTCTACATCTTCCTGTTGTACTCCTGCCCCTCCCAACGCCCATTCATCTCCAGGGGGCTCGCCCACCGCCACCGCTCGCCCCACCCCTGGGACAGCATGGCGGCCCTTGCCTTGCTGCCTCGAAACGTCACCCCACGACCGGGCCGCTGGCGGCCGCCCGCTTCTCGCGCTAGGTGTGTGAGAGCTTGCCGCGGTGAGAGGTGGATGCATGACACGTTCCGGAGGCTGCTTGTGCGTCAACGGAAGCGGGTGCTCGATTGCGACCTGCCCGACGCCGGCGCCGGCGCCGCGGGCGGCGTGGTCTCCTACCCAATCGTTCCCGCTCGTATTTGCGCGCTGTTCCCACGACTGCCCGGCATCCAAAGCGTCCTGCTGGCGCGGTGGCTGCGGCTCGTACGCAAATGAAGAAAATTCGATGGCCTTCTCCTGCTGCTGCTGCTGCGGCTGCTGCTTCTGAAGCTGCTGGAAATGAGGGAGTAGAGGTTGCTGTGCCTGCTATACGGTAAGTCCGTACGGTAAACGCCTTGTTGGTTTTGGAAAAGGTTGTTCCAGTTGGCAAGGTGTGTAAGAGGTGCTGCTATCGTACTTTTCGAAGTAGAGGTGTCGATGATAGTATGCTGGAATGATGGAGATAGCAATACGGCGAAAACATCGTGGGTATTCCGAAATAGATTTCCGGGTTAGTTACTGCAGTCAATCTGTGCTCGAGGTAGGCCCGTCACGCTTCTTGAGCGCTCACGACGTGTTTCCGCACGGTACTGGCGCGTCAACCATTTTTTCATCACCTCAGGAGATCCCGCCGTCAAGTCGTAGGACTCGGAGAAAAGCTCGACCGCGGGGCCCCCGCCAGAACCCTGGCCAACATCCAGGGCCGAAGTGCTGGTGTTTCCCCGTCGACCGACCGAAACTCTCCTCGAGTTAGATGCGAGGACAAAAAATAGGCAACAGGCTTGAACAGGCCGCTAAATACGGGATTGTGTTGACGTGGATCGGACAGTTCGACGAACGGCAATATCTACACACTGGCGGAAATGCCACGGCAGAGTTAGAGCCTGTTCCACCCCGATGGGTATGGAGTACTCGGCCTTAACTTGCACGTAGAGACCACGTAACAACGCATGTGCTTTTCTCAATTGCGATGCTACGGTGACTCTTGCACGTGTCTTGTGCGGGGGATACGTGTCATCGCAGTGGGCAAGGGGCCAACACTGGACAAAACTGCATCCACACCGAAACACTGAAACACCAAGAGGAATATATCCATACCAAGGCCCATCTACCGTATGCCACTTTTTGTATAGACCGGCGACAATGTTGGTGACAACTCAATTTGACATCGCACAACTAGAAACCGAGCATCGAACACGAACGCAAACCTGCTCGAAGCACTTCCGCCGGGCGCTGCAAACCCGGCCGACAGCCACCGCGGACCCATGTTGGCAATAGTTCCAGGAAACGGGGACGAGGAGTTGCTACCGTTTCGCCCGAGGCGGTCCACTTCCACGCTTGAGGACATGTTCAGCTCGGACCTTGGCGCGATTACACCGGGGGAACGAAAGAAGCGGGTTGTGTTTGGGGGACGCCTTGTTGGAGAGTATCCGTGAACCCTAACAGGTGGTCTGTGAGTCTCGGGTCATGGCGGTTCATCACACGGGGGTTCGGAGATAGGAAAGCGATTGGAAAACGCTTCCGCTTTCGTTGTAGCACATGAAATTTACTCTGATGAGGCGACCGACGGTGTGTTTCCGAGTAAACCGTATGAACAACAGGAGCACACCGCCATTGCGTGGAAAAACACTGCCAGTGGTACCAACGCTTAATGTCGCCAACCGACACGGATCAACCTTCAGCAGTTATGGTTGATGCAAACGACGATATTGCATCAACCGATCTCGCAGAAATTCGCGGAAACACGTTGTTGACGTAGGCACAACCCCCAAACTTACGATAGTTGGTGGGGGAATAAGATATTTTCCGGACCTTTATTACCACCCAAGTGGGCAATTGCTGTTCGGAAGCAATCTGACGCGCACACATTTCGCAGGCAGAACGCTGATGCTCATCACACCAACGCCAGCAGCAGGCGACATGTACCACAACAACGCCGTCCAGTATGGCGAAACTCCGCAAACAAGCAATCAGAAGAACGTTGTTCCCCGACCCGGCCCCGAAAACAAATAGTTCAACTCGCGTATTTCCTCACCCTTTTTGCCTAAGCACAGTTCTCATCGCCGTCCCGTCCGGGTGATACGTCCCGATGCTCGAGCAAGTCACGCTCCCGCTGCCTCTGCCCTTCGACCCCCACGTTCGGCCGTTACCATTGGTGAGCTGCTTGGCCGGCGTACTCGTGCCGGCGGTGTCGCTCTCGGCCTTGCGCTACGGTGAGAGACAAAACGCAACCGAGAATGGTTGCCGTGACAATTCGCCCGAAATCCTCCTAGGTCGTTGTTGCTTCTTGCACGGCAACGAACGTCGAGCGGTTTAACCCCGTAGTTGTATTCTGCAGGGCGGTCTACACTCCATTGTAAACGCATCGAGGAACGGTCCGAGCAGTGGATCGGACAAACTTGAACCTAGACACCAAAACGTTCAACTTGACCCCTCTCGGGCACCTTCGTATATTAGAAACCTGGAAGCACGGCGTTCTACGTCGACATGCACGAGAACAACAAGATGGAATCTACATGATTGTTGACACAGCGGTTGACTGCGGTGGGACAGCCTTCCCGGGTAAGCGCGTTTTGGGGAAAGCATGCGCAGCTTTATTGAAATTGCGCATGGGCGACTGAAAGGGTCGTGCGTAAAAAACAGATGGGCCTCTGAGTTATCACAGTGCTGCTGAGCTCCCCGTGGGGGGGTGCAGTTGGGCCAGTGTTGGCGATGGGCACCTAACTGTCGATCGTCTTCAAATTGCGGGCCACTCCTTCAAATCGTTGGAATCAAAACTAGCTCGAGCCATGCCCTTGGCACACGATACCCCCCGCAAACACACGTGCCCATACAAAGCACTGCCCCATCAGACACAGAACAATTGATCGAGGGGTATTGCTTCACCTTGGCCGGCCTTCCGGGAGCCGGGGGAATACCGAGATCATCCCCGGCGTCAGACACACCAATCGCCCCTAGCTCCCCCCGGTTCATTCCCTCCGAGGGCTTTGCTTTGGCAGCGCCGCCACCTCCAGCACCACCCCTGCCAGCTGCTCTCGCTCGTTTCCTAATAGGTCGAACGGTTGTGTTGTGGTTATGTCGTTTGCGTATGAGACAAAAGTGGGTGCATGGACAGAGGTGAAGCCCTCCTACAAGATAAGACGACATGTCGGAGCTTGCATATCAAGGGCCCGAGTCGAACCCTAATGCCATGTAATCTGGCGCTATGCTATTGCAACGGCATGAACACCAACACCATTATAAGCCACAAGAAACATTGGAAACAACACCAACGCTGATACGGAAATAACCGACACCGATATCGTCATCAACGAACAACAAACCCAGCACCAATGATGACGCCAGAATCGACAGCCATCACTGCCACCCGCGACAACTACAGGCAGTATTCAGCAGCCCATCCCCCATGCAAGCCAGATCAGCGTGTGGTCTTGCCTGGCAGACTCAGACAGCGCCGCGGCCTTGAACGACGACGCCAGGTCCAGCTGCCGCTCGCCTTCCGACCCAACCCCAACACCAGCCCGCCCTTTTCCTTTTCCCTTTCCTTTCCCGCGGCCAGCACCGGCACCACCGCTCTTTCCACCCCTGCTTCTCTTGGCCCCAGAGCTCCCCCTCTCGCCGGTAGAATGTCCGCCCGCCGGTTTCTTCCGGGTGGTTTTGTCGTTCGTTTCCCAGTCCAACCAGCCTGCCCTGTCCGAGGCAGGTGCCGACTCATCTACCGGGTCCGCCCCATCCTGTGGAAATCCGTACAAGTGAGTGGCAAAATCGTGCCATGTGTAGCAAGTGGGATAGAACGATTGTGAGCATCCCTGATACGCAGGAAGGTTGGGGGGTAGTGGGTAGGCGAGATCGGGTGTGAAGGGCGAGGTGTTGTATTCGTACATCCCAGATGGTGGCTGCGAAGGAGGAATTCAGTGACTGCCTTAGACCGAAACGGACATGGGCGGGACACCTCACTTCGGTTTCAACATTGAACTTGTTGAATACACAGTCAAAGATTGTACGAGAACGAGCTAGAGGCCCGTCGTGGAAGCCGAGGAAGAGGTTTCCTCCACACAGACTCATTATTATCCCCGATACAATATATATGCGGAACACGGCGCGCGTTGCGCAGAAGAAGGCGTTGTGTTTGCTTTTCTGTCTCTTACCTCCTCGTCCTGGGCGTCCTGGTTTGCCGAACGCCGCGCGTTCTGTGACCAGATCGCGCGAAGATCCGCTACGCTCGCGAAACGGCTGTCTAGGCTGGATGGCTTTATCCTGCAAGTGTTTGTTGAGCGAAGAATACAACACAAAGATCGAGTATGAAGGTATCCCAGGTAGGCACAGGTATCCTATAACGGCAACAAAGATGTGTCCCATGGTTTGTGCGAATGTAGACTATGTAGTCTATGACCAAACAAAACGTGTGTACGTTAACGGTTGCACCAAATCTAGACGAAACGGGGAGGGCTCATTGCATTAGTTCCGGGAAAGCGAGTCGTGGAGATGAAAAGATGGCGAAATGAGCGAAGAGTTGTAACTTGGTTTGCTTGGCTGCGTTGCACTAATGTTCGGAGAAGTAAACCAGCATCACACACACGCACATAGACTCGCACACGCGACCTATGGAAGAAAGCAAGAAAATATATTAATTCAACCTTATTGGTAAAAAACGCAGTCCATCTTATATCACACGGAGACAAGATAGCGACATGGTTGCCACCTGAACGTTCTCGAGGGGAGATGAGAAACCTAAAACAGAGTTCTATGTTGTTGTCATGACCCCATCACCTGACATCTGCAACGTCCATGCCGCACACCCCGGAGCAGATGAGCCAGAGGTGAATAGTAACGTCCTTCTCGATGGCCTCGACAGGGAGGGTGGCGCTGTGCATGCCCTCCATGTTGATCTTTCGGAAGAGCATCAGAGGCGAGGATGATAAAGGCGGTTCCTGTTGTAGCCGCGGCCGGCCGGCCCCAACACGCACGGCAAGGCGTGCGGCAAAGCGTTGCCGAGGGTCAATTGAGTGAGAGAGAATAACACTAAAACTCCACACGTAAACCCCTATTGTATGAAGCTCTCATCTAAAGACTTCCCTCTACGTGAGCATGCGCACGTCGTGCGGAGAGCATGATCACCGCAGTGGAATACGTGGCGAGCACGACAAGGTTGACGAAAACTACCAACCCGATTATGATTACGCCAGGTACAACCTATTTGATTAAGTACGGCATGCTTCCAACTTCTCCGACCCGAAGATATTGAGCGACAGGTGAAAACAGTCAATATTCCTCAAACATCTTCCCACGCACTGTCTCGACCGAAGGGTCCGAAAAAGCGCCGGCAGAACCCGAAAGAGGCGGTTTCGCTTCCGCGACCGCCCCATCTTTCCCGTTGGAACCGTTTGACGCCTGCGCATCGCCATCTTCAACCGCTTCCTGAGAAGAGCCACGTGCGAAAGGACAGGGGCGTTCGGGGTATTCCTTCGCAAAGCATGGTAACAGCCTTCAGACCATCGTTCTTCGCGTCGCCACAAAGGTGGGACGCAGGGCGTCAGGTGCCTAGCTTTGCCGCGTCACCCGAATAAGTATGTTCGGACACGTGCGTAGAGCGTCGTGAAACATGAAACAGGCGTCTCGTTAAAAATATTTCGCCTACGTACCTGCGCTACGTTGTGATAACGAACACACATCGAGATAAACCTCTCGTTGCCTTGTGTTCTATTCGGTTGTGCAAGTCCCATGATATGAACGCGACGGTTGAGTTGATTGGCAGTTTTTTTTTGCTTGTTGCCTTCCAAGCTCCCTGCCGGTGGCTGGGAGAGTAGACCTGGCGCAGCCATTCAGAACGACCGACGAACGCGTGCAGAAAGCCCACCTGCGTCCTCCCTTGATTCTAACGACAACAATAGCACCATCAACTGCGTAAGTTCGCTCTCGCTGGACTCATCAGTGCTGAGAAGGGCGAAGAAAGCACAAGGTGGAGAATCAAGACACGTATATCTAATGAGAAAACAACACAATATCGCCACCATCACAACAATCGCCGAGACGAAAGCATCCGACACCACCACAAATATTTTTAACAGTGACAACCAACACGTATCGTCTGTACCATCGACAGCATACAATGCTGTACAACACCTGGCCGTCGTAGTACACGAGAAGTTGGAAGTTGGTGTCGTTCCGCCTCCAGCCAGTCGGTGGGGGGGCATACGCATCGTCGGGGGGCTCAATGTACCCGTCAGAGAATGGGTCCGTTGTCTGGAACGCCGGTTCGACTCGAACCTGACCGAGAAACCGCAACAAAGCCAAAGCGTGATTGCAAATGTCCACTGGCCGTTCTCAGTCAGCAGCGCAACGCAGTCCACGACGCGTGCATATGCGTCAGCCTACAATAATAACGGGTTTCCATCTAGGTGACAAATTGTTCCCGCTGTACACAAACCTAATCCGTGTCGCCCCCCTCCATCAATTTCTATTTTTGAGAGTTGTGACGTTGGCTCGACTTGGTGGTTGTTGAGGCTTCAACTCCACTGCCCTTGGTACCGCAGAATTAGGCCGGAACTGGCTTGATCACCTGGAGTTCCTGCCTCCCGTCACCCATCTGCTGACGCGACACGCTGGCTGTCAGAGCCCTCGTCAGCAGCTGTAGAGCGGCGTGGCGAATGCCTGTGAGGTTCAAGGTTGACCAACAGCAAGCAAGCCATATCTCACGTAACAACATTGCACGAGCTGTTTTGGCAGAAAATGTGGTCGTGGTGAAGGGGTCAAAGCGACTGAAGATCTTTCAAGTGTTCCCTGTTACCGTGCTACCGAGGCTTGCACCAAAAGGGTATCAAGAGGGAACCGAGGCAAAGTTGGTTGGAGTTGGAAAATGAACATGTTGCTGAAGTTCCGTATTTCAAGAGAATAGTCAACATGAGACTAGCGATGCTCTCGACACGAGAGAACGACAGGTCTTCTGTGTCCACCTGGAACGATCGGGTCTCCCTGATGAAGTGTGCTGGTGGACACCCGTGAGCACAACTTTCTTCTGAACATACGGCTTGAGCTTATTGTTTCATCGCTATTGGTCGTTGTTTCTGACAGAGAGGGGGTCGGACGAATTATGAAGTCACCTAGAGCGAGAACAGGTTGCAACTTCGTACAACGTGGTCACTGCACGCCGTATGATGTACGTATGTATGTAGGGATGTTTGCTCAATTAACCGTGGGGCTCCTCGCGTTCAACACTTGTTTGTTCGATTGGTTTTGCACCGGAAGAGGCCAGCCGTCGAGACAAGAAGCCGACCTTACCGTTGCCGAATGGGTGCTTGCGACCGGTGATGGCGTCGACCTTGACCGAAGTCGAACAGCCTAAATCGGTGAGCGTGATGATCCCACTAGCCTCCAGGCGCCCGCTCATGGTATCGCCCACCCCGGGAAGCTGCTTCAGTTGCCCTCGCTGGTACAAGGAAGGGCGAGGCAGGAGAGGGTCTCGTTCAGTTGCTTTTCATTCGTCTCGGGACGACAGGAGCGCTCCCACTACAAGCCGGAAACATCGGCGACGTCCGGGCGCTGTGTACAAGTGAGGAGACCTGTGTTCCTTGCTCTTAAAAAAGACACTAGCCACCACGTCGTCTTAGCAATCAAGTGGCGGAGGAAACGAGGCGTTAATACTACTTCGTTGTTTGCCCTAGCCGCTGGTCAGCCTACCACTCATCCAAAGCGACACGGAACAGTCCCGTACCCTCGGCTAAGACAACGTTTTTCAGCGGGGAATTATGCACGTTGGCACTCTGCACGTTTCTGGTACATGTCACAAAAGACAAATCCCTTCTCAACATGCACCAAAACGCCACCACCACTACCACCACCACCAACACCACCAATGTGGTTTATCTCGAACGGGTGGTCTTTCATTGTTTATGTGTTTATATTTTCGAACACCACCACCACCACCACCACCACCAACACCAACACCAACACCAACAATAACGCCACACATATCACCTCGGCATCCATCCACAGCCTGAGGCGGACCGAGCGCATGAGCCGCAGGGACACGGCGCAGCCCAACCCCCCGCCCCTGCCGGCGACCGCGAGCGACTCCGCACAGCAGCCGAGCAGCCTCGCGGACGTGTCGAGCATGGCGGTCTGTTCTCCCCTCAAGGTCCAGTCATCGAGGTGAAGGCCTCCGAGCGCAGCTTGGAGGAGAACCAGGGCCTAGATTGCGCTCGCGAAGACGGCGACGATCCCAGGCGGGTTCGATGAGTATAGGGCCGGTTAAACTTGGGGAACGACTTCCACAGTGGTTTGGACGATGCACTCCTGGAACTGTCTTGAGGAAAACCGTTTCGATCATCCCGCGGAACAATGGAGTTTTCAACCTCTCCTTCGCACAACTACGAGAATAAGCACAAGCACAGAACAGAATCAGAAGCGGTGGCAGAGGCACATCCGGCCAATGTTTCTCCTGTTCTTACTTTGTCTGCTGGCGTCCGCACCACCTCCTTCTTTGGCGGCGGGTATCGAACTTTTTGGTTCAGGTCGTTCAGGAAACGCTTCTCTGCTCGTCGTAGTGGGACGTTGACCTCGTTGCACTCGGCGCACACTCGCAGGATGTCCCTGAAAAAGAAGCACAGACGAAGCAGTGCATTCTAGCATACCTCTGTGTCTCCAAAGCATTGTGTCTTCAAGGTACCCAAATTCCATCCCTGACCCAAAAACACGCCCGACCAATTGAGGATAGTACATAGCGATAGAGAGCACACGCGCCAGAGACGAAGAAGCCTCCCGCTGACCCCGCACAATCTACCACACTACGGACAGTTTTGCTCAACCGCCCATGGTTCACCCATGGTTCACCCATGGGCCACCCATGGGCCGCCCATGGGCACTTCAACCTAGAACTTCGCCACCTCTACATCAACCTAGAACGTAGCCACCAGCGCCAACCTACCACGTATCGTATGAGCTTGGGGATAGGGTTAGGTTTAGCGTTAGTATTAGCGTTAGTATTAGCGTTACTAGCCGCTACAATGACCGTTCCAAAGCAGATAAGCTAATGTTTTGGAGTAAACTGGTTCCGGTTGAAGGGCTCTCATTGGTCGCCCATGGGCTGCCCACGGGCTACCCATGGGCATGCCCGTGGCCAGGGTGACCCGGGCAGGGTGACCCATGGGCTGCCCATGGGTGTCCGATGGGGGTTGTAGCAAAACTGTAGAAAGCCCCCCGCATGTTCACGAACACCAATAAACCGACTCTGTGACCCAAGATCCCCCTATTGCAAAACTGACCGGGTTCCGTGGTTCTCGGAAACCTCCAGGATGACCTTCATGGATTCAAAGCGAACCATGAAACGGCTGAACAGAACGCCGTGAGGGGTCGGCTGGACGGAGAACTCGTCGTCGTCCATGGCGATTACTCCAGCATTCCGCAGCTGAGACAAACACGAGCGATTGCAACGATACGAAGACGCGTCTAGGAGCAACGCGAGAGCCTGTCATTATTAGGGCAAGACAAACACGGCTCGAAACAACGGAACGGAAATATCCGCTTCTAACCTACAGTTGTTGATGCATTTGGCCGGCGACAACCCTTTCACCACCAAAGAGCACAGGATTGTTCGCAAAGCACTCGCTTCATGCCTAGTTTTGGAAGACCATTGCAACTGCGCTGAAACGAGCCTCGATGTCGGGGATCACGACGAGTCGGGGCTCGTGTAAGAGGAATGCAGACAATTTCGTCGTTTTCCGCGACAACCGTCCCAACAATATCGAGCAGCGGGTATCGGATGGGTCAGAAGTGCCGGCCGGCAAAGAAACGCTCGGGAATACATAGCAGAACCCGCAAGCGAGAATGGACCAGTCTGCGAACGCGAGATCAAAATCGGCTCGACATTTTTGAAGTGTTCAGGGGGTCGTAGTCCCTAGAGCGTGGAAGTTCTGGAGCTGTTTTATTGTAACCTTGCCCGCAGCGTAGCACAGCACTCAAGGCGGGCCTTTTCTTTTCCATGTCGGGGTACAGTTGGTGGCATGGAGCTCACACCCAAAGCCTATCTGGCCTCCTGCGTTCACAGGGTGGCCTTCAAATGCCGAATGCTTGCTTTCAGAAGGTCATCCGGTCTTCCCGGTATCATTCGAACAACAACATCAAATGAGGGCCGCGCTAGATTACACCATATCGTTTATCTCGCTTCATGCTCTCGCCTCCCGAACTTGTGCGAAAACTGTCTACAAACTCGCCTGCTTCAAGCTGTCCAGACAGGTAGTCTGCATGTGGCCATAGAGTCCTCCGTCGGCAAGACCTGTGGGGAGCCCGTAGAACGACGGGTTCTGCTGACAGCGGATGAAGTAGAAGGTGCTTCGCTCACGCACGAAAGCGTGGAAGGCGTTATCGTGTCCGTATTGTTTGCGGGGGAGGGAATGGGGGTGGGAGGAGAAGGTGGTGTTTGTTTCAACATGTCATAGCATGTACAGGGGAGCGTCGTCCGCGCTGTGCACTTACTTGCGGTCTGCGATGTCCAGTTTGTGCACCTAAGACATCGTGGTACACGGCCACCTGCTGAACACACGTATTTTTTGGCATTTCGCGAGGGCGATTTGTTTGGCGAGGCCAAACCCGTCCCTCCCACAATTCAGCACAAGCGACCATGAACGAGGCCTCGCCCCGATCGCCACTCGGCAATTCCCATTGTGACCACAAACATCCTGCCTCTACACGGTGCACTTCTGTTGCGACGGTTTCAATGGTATGAGTTTGTCTCGTCAACCCGGTGTTATCACCGCGGCGCACAGGAGTCGCTTCTTCGTATCTCCCATCGAAATAAGAGGGTTCTGTATGCAATCAGAATCGGGACTGTTGTTCAACTCAGGTACCTTCTGAGCCACTCGATGGCCTCGCCGACGTCGTGAATGGTTTCTCCCTGGCACACCTGGAAAGGGGAAATAGTGACATCGATCACAGTAAATTCAGGGTCGAAAAATCTAGTGGACTGCTTCGGGTGGATGTTTGCAAATCACGTAGAGGGACGCAGGTACTGACTCATCCCTCGCTGCATATACCCCCGACGTGGCTATCTCAGACTATTTCTGAACGCTTCGAAGTGCTCGGAACGAAAGAACCACAATGCGTGGACTTGGACAGGAGTGAGACGCTCCACGATTGTCAACGTACTGAGAACACAAGGTCACAGGGACAGTGATTGGTAATATGTAAGCGATGATATTGAACTGGATGACAAAGCCATGTTTCGGACCTACGGTAACAGGTACCTGGTACGTGGCGTGGCATAGTTAAAGCGATTCGACTGCATCGATAGATGTAGTGCCACATTCGACGCTCAGAGTCAAGAGGGAAACCAGCTATTTATGCTCTTGTCGCACATAGTTCACACACAGACCTCCGAGTTGAACGCCTCGAGAAGCTTCGCTTGGAGGGAGCTCTCGACCGCCTCCTGCCCTGCGCTCAGGCGCTCCAGGGCCTTCTTGTTGCGCTGTAGTTGGGGGTGAGATAGGCAATGACTGTATGGCGGTGTTGACCGAGAACACGCGCAAGATTTTAGGGTGCTAAACGTACGGTGTGAACCAACTAGGCGAACATTGAAAAACGCCTCAGCAACGTTCATTGTTGGTTGTTCGTTGATCGTGCTCAGATAACAGTGTCGGCTACCAAATTCGGCTTCCCCCTCACGCACATGCATGTACCAAGCCCAATTTGTTTTCAGATAATATGTGTGTACCCGCCTTGTTTACCAATTGCCACAATAAAACTGTCGCCCGAACCAATTTTTGGCGCCGTTCAATCGGTTTGTCATTGCGATCATTACGACCGTCCAAACGTTCTGGCAACATGAATCCTGATGAGCAAACCAAGAGAAACCGTAGAGGAACGACCAAGATCACCTCTGACGTCATGACTACCGCCACGCCGCTGCTGTCGAACCCCTGGCGTCCAGCTCTTCCGATCATCTGCAGGATGGCCGACCTTGACGAGGGGATGGGGGCAAGCAACATGGGTATATAAGTCAATCTGTCCGTTCGACATTCAGTGGTTCAGGTATCCGTTGATGTTGTGTCGATACCCCTTTTGGCGGAAATTCATATCTGAAGGACGCGGTTATAACCATGCCCAAGGTTGGTATTGCTGGTGAGTTCGGGCCAAAATCCCTAGCAGCCGTTGCTAACGTATTAAAATGTATTTCGTGTTCCGTCTCAAGACCGAGCTCGCCCGTGGTCACATGATGAGTTACACTTAATCTCGGGAACAATCACAAAAAATGTCATACTGAACCAGTGTACGTACCATTGAAGGTGCTGTTGTGAGTGTGAAATATCGTTCAATGAAATGCAAGCCAATCTTGCGTTGAAGTTGATACGTCCGTGGTGTTGTTATTCAGAGAGGAGATATGGCTACGCGGGACTCAAGCCCTCCGACTTGTTCTTTCGCGTTGTCCTCTACCTTTGTGGTTGTTGGTGATGTCACCCATTGCGTTTCATTATCTGTTGCTGTTTCGACTGACCGTCTTCTCTCTCCCGAGCCATCACGAATGTATCCTTTGGCTTCCGGTATGGAAACCTTACCTGGGCATCTCCTTGTACCCTTGTGCCCCTCGGTACTGATTTGTCCCCTTGATCACAACCAGCCTCGCGGGCAGGTTCACACCCATGGCAAGTGTAGTTGTCGCGACAAGGACGGCGATACTGGCGAGGTACGGCATGGGCAACAAACAGGAGGGCGAGGCAAAACGCCGTGACGTGATTCACTCAGGAATAAATGAAAAAAATTAGAGGTGAACAGGAATGTGGCTGTCTGGGTTGAAACCGAAACTTCAGTCACACCGCAGCAATGTTGAAATATCTTTGAAATTTTTCCGTATACTCGCTTGACAAGCACGTCAGTTGAACCACTTTGGAAATGCATTCACGCACGGTCCTACTATGCATAGGTAAGTTTGATGGCAGACAATCGGTTGAAGGAACAACTGCAACTGGAAACAGGAACAACGTGCCTCTTTGTCATCCTCTTTATCATTCCGACGGATGTATCCGTGTCTACACCTGTCAACACGACTTCATACTCTCTAGCACCTGGGCTTGAATCGACACCCGAACGAAAGATATCATCGTATCCGCACTTTCATCATTCAGAAAACTCTGTTCACGCAGTTTGTTGTTCACTTCATCCCAAGGATCCTTACAACCTGCCGGACAGGAACGCCCTTTCCACAAGACCGCGGTCACGGGGAGAAAGTCCCGAGTTGTGAATCGCCACGCCCCTCATCATTAGTTTGGCCAACTGCGGGTCCTCGGCCGTGTTCGCAGCAGTCGCTAGGTACTGCATTACCACCTGTGTGAAAAGGGTAGGCTTGTTAGAGGTGGAGGATAAACAAGTCGCTGTCTTCAGAAACCCGCAGATCCAAACAATTCTAATTAGGCTTCTGTATGAATAATTTGGCAGTAGAGCAAACAATACATGATCAATCTTGCCTGGGAGCCCGTCCTTCTGGCGTAATCCGTCCCTTTGGCCAGGGAGCTAGCGACCGTTTCGGTGTCCTTCTTGCTACCACAGAACACCAAAGACGGCTTCCCGTTCGAGTACCTTGAGTAGGTTAGGATATGAAAGCGGTCAATAGCTCAGTTCGTTTGGCCACAACGAAAAACTAGGAATTCAGCGTTTGCCATCGTGGACTCTATTCTACAGATTCGCATGAATTTGGTTTGATTCTTCAAGAAAACAACGAAACGATCCCGTTCCCTTGACCACTTGAACCTAGATTCTGAGAAAGACATCGTCCGAAGGAAACACGCAAACAAGTAGTCTACGTGGCACATCAACAGCAGATATCAAGACTGGGAGATAGAACTACCGGGTTCATTCAATATCATACCTCGCAACGGTTCCAGCGACACGATTGTTGAGGCCCCGGTCAAAGAGGAAGGGTTTGCTGCCGGAAGGATAGCCGGCCACGTGCGTCTGAGAAGAAATCGTGATAGACACATGGCCGGAAATGAAGCATGGCGTGCAATGTTCCAGGCGTAGACTGTCGCCGGTCCGTTTGCGACAAGCCCAACGTAAGTGTCAGGCCGCTGGGTATCTCGTTCGGCTTGAGTTTGCGTGTACTTCGGATGCGCACGGGTCTGAAGCAAGTTGCGATATTCATGTTTTAGGCGTTTGCAGCAGTTGCTGCAACTGCACGAATATGTTGTTTACTAGCTCCTTGGTGATTGGATAGAACTCCTATCACTTCGAAGCATGCCCCGGACACTGGCGCAGACGTGTCGGGGAGAAAACAACCTCCCAACTTACGTTCCAGGTGGGCATCTTCAGGACCTTTCGAGCACTGTTCACGTGGCCTGGCGCACCACCGTGTCGGGTGTGCGAGAAACTCCTCATTCTGTTGCGCATATTGTTAAGCGTTTTAATTGTTTTGTGGGCCCTCTAGACAATATGTCGTCTTGCACTTTTCGTAATACCCTTGCTGAGTAGTTGGCCTGTGACCACGGATAACGTCCGTTTGTTTGTCCGGTTACCGATGTTAGAGGAGACCCGATTGGGCTTCACAGTGAAAGACACAACAGCAAGACGGGCCATGCCATCGATAGCGTACCTGGAGAGGGACCGGCCTGAACTCATCTCCAAATCGGAACACCTCAGCTCCAAGGAATGAACCAAAATCGTTGGCGTTGGGTAGCGTCGCAGACAGCGCAATGAAGCGCATCCGCGACGCGGGAAGCCCCATGGAAACCACCTGTTTGTATCGACCAAGCGCGGTTCCGTGACTCGTGTGTTGCGCTGTTGCGCCCATGACCAGTCTCATTCTCTCCGAAAAAAACAATATCCGACTTGTCGTGTGTACAACGCCTGACCACCACCAAAAACAAATGTCATCGCCACCTATATAGCTCCGCCTCTAGCGGGAGACACGTACAAAGAAATAGGCGCGTTCACTGGATCAACCTAGAAAGAAGATGTGTCCTAAGCTATGCTGAGGGGCCGGTGCAGGTTGGCACCAAGTTCTCCTTCAGCCTACACTAGCCTGGAACAGCTGACCTTTGTCCTCGATCTCCCTTCCGGCGACACCCCGCGACAGGGCATACGCTTTGTTTCAACTCCGTCCCGTGCAAACAACAACGTCGACAACGCGAGAACAAACGTCTATTCTTTCTCTCACACCGCCCCTCTCCCACTATCAAGCGGTGGTGGCGTATTTCATACCTCCGTAGATCGCGAAACCATCTTCATTCGAGCCAGGATCACCTCTAGCGTGGCACCTCTCTCCTCTCCGATCGTGTGAACTTCGTCGACTAGGACAAGCGCCACCGTGCCGACCTTGTCATGTTCCGTTTCAATGTACGTAGACAGGCCGTCTTCTTGGGAAGGTTTCGAACCAGATGCATTTGACAACCCCGCTTAACTGCTCTGTTTAGATTGTTCACAGACACACCAACGTAGACCTAGCCAAATACGACTACAGTAGCGCCAAGGCACGCCTGGACAACGTCAAAGAAGTGAAGTGTCAATGATTTAGTATCCCGTTTTTGATTGGGGTGTTGTATCTCGGTGATGCACACAATATCGCGTCAGCACCTCGTGTCTTGAATGTGACGCCTGTCTCGAATCAACTATCACGATTGAGTGATTGCTCTTGAGCCTCTTGCGAGATTAAAGAGAGATTTCAGCGCACTCAGGACCAGGACCCCGCCACAGAGATGGAGTTTAGCTCGGTCGTGTGAGTTCAAATGCTCAACGAGGTTGTGACGACTTGCCTCACATACGTCATCTAGCACGTACAGGCGCAGCTTCCAACGTATCCGTGGCGTACATGTATTCACTCGACTTCATTAGCAATGTTTCGCAGAACGGCACACACCAAGAACGCGTGCTCCTTCCAACGTCTGGTGATGCTGTCCCACTTTTCCGGCGTGGTGAGGATGACATCCGCCGACGCCAGGTCTCGGAGGGACACCGAGCCCTTGGAGGGGCCGGAGGTGGAGTCGCTGGTGAGCTCGGCTAGTCGTATCCCAAGTGGTGAGAACTTGGCGGTCCAGTCGTCCAACGTTTGCTGACAGAGGGCCTGTGAGGAAGGGCGTGAGAGAAAAGTCCACGAGGAAAACCAAATATGTTGTGCATTGAGTAAACATTGTTATGAATCCAACAATTTCCTACGTCAAATAGCGCAGAAAATCTGAAATGCTTCAGGTTGAAAATATATTGGCATTGAGCCGGAGTGGACGGTTCGTTTTATCTCGGCCGGGAACGGTACAATACAACCGCCACAACATTTGAGCCATGTTTGCAACTAGCGGAGATGGTGGAAATGGTTGGGGGGTTTTTCGGGGCGAGGCGAGGAAACTCTCGTCCAATCTGTGCGTTCTCGGACCGGCCTTCTACTTTACATTATCAGCGTCCAACACAACCTCTCCATGTCTCCTACGAGGGCAATAGAACCAGTGAGTGTTTTCACACCACCAGGACCATCTGAGTGACCGAATGAGCCGTGAAGTTTTAAGGACTGGTTGTATTATGTACTTGTGTCTCTTTCACCTCACACCCTTGCCATATCATAAATGACAAGTGTCAATCGGTTCCTTGACGCATCTATGGCAACAGTTCTGGCAACCTCACTGGCTCCCCACGAATCGACCTGCTCTCGAACGGGTGAAAACAAAGTTTCCATTGCGTCGTCTGAGACCCAAGAAGAAATTTCCGCACGCAGGATTCAAGTGAAACATTCCCGTCCGAAGCCGCGATCGAAAGTACTCACTTTGATGGGGGAGATGTAGATGACCTTGCGGTTGCCGAGGGTGCCACCAGACTCTTGCCAAAGCCGAGCGATCGCCATTTCTAGAACAACCGTCTTGAACCAGCATGCAAATACAAGTACCAAAGGAAAGAAGAATGCGTGAAGAATGCGTTCGTGAATATTGTATTGCAAATTCATTCGCTACGGTTGGTGGAGACTGGCTGTCGCGAAATGAACGGGAATATCCTGACAACGTTTTTGAACTGTCTTGAGTGTCTCTCCAAGACACGGGAGAGGAGTGATGACATTCGCTGCCCCAGCCTGTCAAGGTCATTGCTCGATCGAGAGTGAAGTTCGGCATGCCCAACAAGAGCGGTGAATATAATGCGAATTCATGTATGCTTAAATACCTGGCACACCCTTCGTTAGCTGTCCTGAATTTCCGGGTTATTCTTTCAAAAACGGTCGTATCAATGAAATATTCCTAGTGGCTCATTTGCAAGATTCGCAAGAATGGAACACGTTGTATATTTCACTCTTCAGAATGATACCATGCGTCTGGATCGATCACTTCTTGCAGGGTTCACCGTCCTCTATTTTTCCCATGCAGTAGCCCAAAGCGTCATGAAGAGTGATTTGGGTGGTATCGCGCTACCACGGTACAACCGCCAGCGCTGACTCTCGGATATTCCTTGGACGACAAGACTTGCCCTTGTTGTTAAGATAAAGTCCTTCCAGCGGCGTTCGCATAATATTGTTCATAATCCTCTTTGAATGAAGCGGCGTACGTTGTTGGAATCATAAGCACCTACGCGATGTGGCGTTGATAATGACCAATTTACCCCCTTCGTGCAACGACAGACCTTGCTCTATTAGGCCTGCTACCAAAACCCACCTTGCCGCAACCCGTCGGCGCCGAGACGACCACGTTCTTGTCGCTCTTGGCAGCCGTCTGGAACAGTGCGCTTTGGATGGCGTTGAAGTTTTGGAACGGCCAAATTCTGATCGAAAATGGAAGGGCCAGGACGAGGTGAAGAATGTCGGCGCCATGTTGTGGCGTGTTTTGCGTTCTATGTACTTGTGTTGCGTGCGTCACGGCGTGAAGAAGTGCAAGGTTCATGCATGTAGACCGAGTCACTCCCGACACTGTCCATGAGTAAAATATACCTGCCACAGTGACAGGTAGTAGTGAGTTTCGTGGAGTGACGTAGGCGGCGAGAGTAATACACAGTTCTTTGTCCGTAGAATTCCCGTCGATCAGGCGACTGTAGAACACGGTGTCCTCAGCGTGCTATACAAGCATGGACGCAACACCGTGCGTTCAAATGCGGCAACCATGAATGTTCTCGTGGTGCATTGTTCATTTGGTTTCAAAATGTGATCGCCGACACTGCTGTGCGTGCTCGTTCGTACAGCTGGGATAGAAAATCCAACCTTAAGCTCTCGAACGATCGAAGGTTGAACCTATTTCGTCGTCAACGTTGTTCGTTGTTATGTCATCATTCCCTGCTATCGTTTCATAGGTTTCCGGCAAGGAAACTATATCAAATGTAGGTAATGGCAAAAGAAATTGATGCAGATGCGGTTTGGTGTGATGTGTGACAAGTGGAAGGCACGTGACACCTGCTGAGCTCCGGAGGGTAGACATCCTTCACTCCAACAAGCGAGGGCATCTGCCTCAGGGCGCTGCCTCTATCCATGCTGCTGTAACCATCGCCTCCGCCCGCCTCTTGTGCAGAAGCACCTACGCTCCTTGCTGCCGACGTTCCACCCGTGGAGGAAGAGCGTGAGCTCCGACTTCCCGAAGACCGAGCGGGTTCAGCAGTGACCCTTCTGGTTTGATGATGACTGTCGGGAGTGACTCGCGCCGAAGGCTTGTAGGGGTTCTGCACCGCGGTGTGCGTACGGGTGTTTGTCATGGGAGGCGGCACGGACAGTCGCGGTGGCTGCATCGGCTCTGCAACGGGAGGCAGCAAGAGGTTGAGTCAAGGCAAGGATTAAGATGGAATCTGTGTTAATCGGTGTGGGCATGTACTGGCCCAGACGTGTCGTAGGTGGAATGGACATGGGTGCTGCTACCGGAACCGCGCTGGGAAAACGAGATGGAATCTGTACGTATTGGTCAAAGTGAAATAGTATCCATTGAGTGCAACCCAATGCTGTGTAACCCTGGCAACCAGGGACGCGTGACTACAGTATTCACACATTAGACACTGTCACAAGGTGCAGGTGTATGCCTGGAAGAGGCCAGGACCACCTGTGAATCGCGGTATCCTTCTGCGGTTCATTACCTGCATGGTCTGGCGTCACAAACTTGGGCTGGGAACAGATCGTTTCCAGAGCATCGTCCAGATACGGCGCTCCCGGTCCCCACCCCTGCCCAGCGTCTCTGCCATCCTCCCTTGACCACCGCCCCTTGCCACCGCTGTTTCCCCTAGACCGAGAATCCGACGATCGAAATGTGGTGCCGTAGTCGTCATCATCGCCTTGAGCTATCTGCCGATAGCTGTTGGTCATGCCATCGCGCTGTTGGTGCTGCCGCTGTCCAGTTGCCGGCGAGGCTTGATGTCTGGGGTTTGATGCACTGGGGTAACTTTGAACGGGATCGCGACCGCGACTTCCTCCACGGGGCAAAGCGTCTTGTTCGGTAGAGCTATCCGAGTCGGACCCGAGGTCCATATCCAGTCGGAACCGCTTTCTCGCCATCACGGGCTCGCCGCCATGCGCGCCGCCTCCCCCCCTGTCGCCGGCAGATTCCATGCCTGTGGCTCTTCCACGGGTATTGCGGCCTAAACCCGCTTGGAAGAGCTGTGAAGGGTTCGGGATGGCGGCAAGGTTGTGCCGCGTGATGGTCTTCGTTGCTGTTGCTTTCACTGAACACGGGGTTGTTTCGTTGTCCACCCCAGCGGGAAGCTCGAGGTTTACGCTCACGAGCTTCCCCGATTCGGATGGTTCTATGGGCAGCTGCTCTTGGATTTCCTCTAGAGAATCGAGGGTTAACTCGTCTTGGTGGGAGAAGCGAAGTGTGCGCTGGGACCGTCCGTATGCAAGCATCTGCGGGGGGTTCAGCGGAGACACAAAAATGCAAATTCCACGCGGGGGCGGATCGCAACATCTCAGTGTAAGTGGCACGGGGCAGCAACGACATCGGTTGTTTCACAAACAGCAGTGTTTTGTGTCTCTGAGAGGAACCTGGCGACAGCACGAAGGCAACAATTGCGCGGATTCACTTCAGCGTTCTCCGTACTTACTCCACCGCAGCAGTACATATGTACAGTAGTGCAGCGTACTTCTCCTTGTGGCAATGCAACAGCCTCTTGATGGTCATGCCAGCCCGTCCTTCCGTTCGGACTTTATGCGTGGCAGGTACGGCAATTCGTCCACTGCCGTCAAGAAGATAACTCGGTCCGGTACACCATACCCTCACGAAGCTGCGTAGTCGACTGTGGGTTGGTACCATCGCTGCGGCTGTTCCTTGGTTCGCAAAAGTAGAGGTTTGTCTGGCCTTCGTATGCCGCAGACATGTGTCAAGCCTTGACAAGCAACATGGAATACTTACATGCGAAGGGGGTATGCGTACACGCAACTGCCCCTACACGATGTGTCCTCCCTGCTGTGGCCTTCCCGGTGGCGGCGAAAAGAGCCCAATCGCGTTTTCTGCCGGAGACACATTTCATTCCACGGGGACCCCGAGATGCGGCGTGTTTGTTTATTTTGCAGAGCCCAATTGACATCACCGTCACATGCGGGACGTGCCACGCAAAATCTCGCGCCGAAACGAGACACACCAAAGTTTTGGCCGCAGGAGGTGTATTCTGGAAAACGTTGAGACTCAGCATCTTCACCTGTACGCGTTCTGCGTGGAAACGACACAGGGAAACAAGACATATGTATTGTACGTAGTGACCTCTTCAGTTTCACACGAAGAAACGCAGTATCCGTTCACTTCTTGCAACCATCCGCAAGTTAACCATGGCGATGCTTCGGAGCGAGGCTCCAGAGGTGCAGTAGCGCACTTCTCCTGGCCGTTATGCTCTCTGTTCCAACTCCTCGCTTCTTTTGGTGTAGCATGGACAGGTAGAACACTATGTATGGTTCGCTGGGCCTATTCCGAGTCTTCACTCGAAGTCTGGCAAGAATCATCAAACACACCTGGAGGAACACTATGTATGGTTCGCTGGGTCTATTCCGAGTCTTCACTCGAAGTCTGGCAAGAATCATCAAACACACCTGGAGGAACGAGTAAGACACCCTTTTACATACGCAATGCACGAACCACGTATCCCCGCAACCCAGCTGTGCTCAGCAAATGCAATGTGCGAGGAGACCAATCACATCTTGTTCCGCAATGCAAGAAAGAAGCGATACATGCCTGATAGGGATTGCGGACGTCATTTTCCCGGCCCACAAGAAGGACCCATTGGTTCAGCCAGAGAAGGCATGGTAAATGTGTATCCGGCGCTCTCAAGTGCTATATTCGTTCCAGCCTGCCGTCTCCCCCTGCCGAAAAAGCATTGGAAATAGCTGTCGGGACCCATCAAATTGCCGTCTGAAGCTGGAGGTCCGGCAACGTGTGTAGTGCGAGAAGTGTAGCGAGAAGTGTAGCGAGAAGTGTAGCGTATGGTTGGTTCGTGACCGAGAACCCGTGTGTCGAAACTGAATCCTAGCATACTCTAGATATCGGCTTGTGCTGTCGTCGAGTGATTTCGTCACTCTGAATTGTTCACCCAAAGAGGTGGCCACACAAAGAAAGCAACGTACAATCTACGCTCCGAAGCCCCTAGGCCGCACGTTGTGAACGAAAGCGGGAAGGACAGCCTGTCCACATGTGTCAACCCATTGCCGTCCAGGTGACCAGAAGCACATCCTGCTGAGGAAAGCTCAAGACATGTTGCTATTCATATATTTCAGAGACCCAACGAGCCACCATTGTGGACGCGCAGCAGCTACAGACGAAATGGAACCCCCCTTGCCACATCTAAGCACAAGATGCCGAACACCCTTCGCAGGATGCAGCGTACTCTTCATGCGACTCGCCGAATACCTCACGGTGCTTCGCGCTTGGTGATGTGAGCGCCTGGTCCGGTGAGAACCTGGCGTGGTCCGTCCCGGCTTTGTAGGGATGCGCGGTCAATGGTCTAACGACTACGGCATGCACGACTACCCCCCCACCACATCTCCGGCCACTGCTCCGGAACTTCCTGTCCATCCATCCTAAGATTCGAGCAATGGCGCGACAACAAAAACATCCTAAGCCGCTCAGCACGAAGAGGGAGTGCTCACCAACTGTACACTTAACAAAAATACAGCAGGACCCAAAGAATCGAGAATATGTGGCGGACAACCACGCGTGAAAAACAGAGTGTCTGGCAAAATTTCAAGCGAGGACGAAACTAGATTGGCATGTCGTCCGAGTCAGCAGCACACCAGATTCAAAGGACCCCAAATTTCAAAAGCGTCGGCGGCTTTCATTCGCAATCTGAGAGGGCAAAATGTGTGCGCACGACGCGCCCCATGGGAGCTCATCACACGTGAAGGGCACGGCTAACGCTTGCGACCAAAGTAAACACACGCCGTTTACGATATTGCTAAAAAATTACTCCACGCTATCGCGAGATTTCCAACCAAGACGAGAAATCTGAACGGCCTATTTGAAGAAAGCTATCGGCCCATGGAGCAAACACCGATACAAAATTGACAACCATTAGATAATCGTGAATGACTACGCGGAAAATAACTAATATCTTAAGGAAAGCCCGCCACTATTTCAAATGATCGAAGGGACGCTAGTCTCAAACACTATTCGATTCGATTCTACGCCTGACTCACGTCCAATGAACCAGCACTTTCTAGCGGAGATGTGATTTCGAAAATGACGCCAGTAGCGTCGCCAAGCGGTATATCATACCGGACACACACCCTGCCTTTTCACACAACAAATCGTCTGAACCCTAACCTAGGCACTACACTAGAACGACTAGCGATGAAGCACGCACGTGCCACGAAAGAGGCGTAGCTGACAAAACCGGGTCCTATAATATAGCGCACTCCTGGAAGACTAACCTCTCTACCTGATGTCTTTTCACAAGGTCAGCGGGAATTTTTGCACGATCGAAGCTAGTTAATGACTTACACAGAGGCAAATCGAAAATATGGAAAAACAACAACAAAGAACCCAACACCGATCTGTGACATGCCAGAAGAAAATCACTACACCAAACAGAACACACGACACTATGCATTTTTTTAGAAAATTAGTGAGAAGGCCATGCCCGGTTCGACACAAATCGTTTGCCAAAACAGACGAGTAAATCATGAAGCCAAAATTTGCGCGATCTGAAAGAAACGCGAACGCTGTCGAAAGCGCGGCGTCGATCCTGTTCCAATGCCCAAAACGCGACGCGACGGGCGTTGCAGAGCGATATCTAAAAACAAAGTTCGAGAAAACAATCCGGTAACTTCCTCACGGTATCTCATCCCCTGCTCTAACCAAGACCCCCCCTCTGGACTGTTAGTCGAACTGTCAACTGATACCCTAGTGACGCTCCTTGAAATACATACCGATCGAATAATCTTGGAGCACTAGCCGCGCGACCACTCTACCCCACCAATGAAGCTCCTTCGTAGAGCATCGAATCCGTAAACTTGAAGTTCGGTTTAGTCCAGGCCTGTCGGACAGCGCGAGGAAGGAAAGCAAGATGCAACCAATGAGGGCAAGACCAGGGGCATGACATTGGCAAACTTGGTCTCGAACCTCAACCTGACATGTCTGCGTCATTGCAGCACAAGCAACGATTGGTCCACCTTCATGATCGCCACACCCACACACCAACATGATGCATGGTACACGAAAAGCGCTCACCTGCCGGGCCGTCTCCCTCATCGCCAGGTAGGTCTTGATGTTCGCCTGCAGGAAGGGGTACAGGTGGTAGGTGAGGCCGTGCTTCTCGGCCAAAGCGGCGACGCGCGACTGGACCGTTCTCAGGTTATACCTCGGCAGCTTCGGGAAGAGGTGGTGCAGCGTCTGCACACAAACAGCAACATTTTTTTCGCGGCGAGCACAAACGTGAAAGGGCAAGAGAACCGACGTGGTCGGGAACAATGGTGATCCGTAAGAAAAACGATGTGCAGAGGAAACGCTGTAAAGCATACGAGAATTCAATTCGTGGGTTGTCAAGGGGGATTAACAAATACACAGCAGCCGTGTGGAGCGGGAGCCGATACTAAAGTGGCCCTTGCTTTTGCAAATAATCACGTAACTTCGCCCGCAGTTTGTCTCCACCCAACCATGGTGTTTTTGATGGCCCACAACTTGTGAGAGCATTGGCTGTACCGAACAAGTGTTAAAGTGGTCTGTCTCAAGGTGATCCCTCGACGGGGGGGATTGGAAGCAAGTCGATGTCCTTGTGGAAGCATAACTATTAAAACCGTCTTGTATCACAGGCGTGGCGACGATAGACACCACTCGCGGAGAAAAAAGGGTAGCTCGAGGTCGGCAGTACGACAGAGGAAACTCCTAGCACAGTGCACCGTTCGACCCGGCAATGAGGAGCACCCACACTGACCAACCGAATCCCCAAACGGCTCCCATGGTTTCCTTGTCCGCGCCGGGGCATAGATCGCGACGTCGACACGCTGAAACAACCACAAACGCCGATGTGGCCCATCCCACTAGCGCACGAAACTATTTGAATGCAGCCAAAGAGAAATTGTCGACAGCAGTACCAGCGTACTTGACGGTACCAGATTATCCCCTCCCTCGCCGAAGAAAGGCCGTGAAATTATGGGAAATCGCGTTGTGGCAAACTTGGGCCGAGCCGTGTGTACATGACACAGCCATCGAAAAAAAAACAGCAAAGAAAACAGAAGGGCACCTGGAACTGGAGCCCTCCGTGGAACCAGTCCATCCACCGGTAGCAGTCCACGTCCAACGTCGTGTTGAGCTGCGTCACCACCCACCCTTCCTCGTCGTTGCTTCGAATACATGGCAACCAAAAGAAGCGGGGTTTCGCCGCAAGTACGGCGGTACGGTGATCAGGTTGCGTGACGTTGTTGTTGTCGCGCACGTGAGGGCATCAAGTGCTTCTCAGGCTTTCCATTGCCGTTTCCATCACTTCCAGCCATGCGGTTGGTACGTTCGCGCTCACTGATATGGGGATCCCCAAGCAGTCACACTGGTAGCTCTCAACTGACGAGAGAATCTACCGCATCCTATACTGATGGGAACAGCAAAATGTCGGGGCGTCGTCGCCAGCATGATCCGTCGTCGTCGCCAGAATATGAAACGCTATCCGCCTATTGCTGGTGGCATTGTATATTCCGTTGCGAGCAGTGGGACTTTAAACTTTGCTGAGGTACTTGAGCAACACTTGGACGCACTTGAGATCCGCGGATCGCGTTAACACAACTATCCATCAATGATGTCTAGTTTTTGGCATAACTGCGGCGAGTTGACAAAAAAAAAAAAAAACGATTACACCGGTACAAGACACTGAGCGTCCAAGCAAGCACATGACCAACATGCGGTGGTACTTGCACGCGCCAAAGCGGGAAACAGCTCCTCACCGGTACTGCGGCTGCTCCGTGACGTCCATCGAGAAGTGGCTGAGCGTGATCTGGACGTGCAGGATACCCGACACCGCGTGGGATACCAAGAAGTAGGAAGCCCGTGGCCAAGCACCCTGGGAGAACGCCAGGATGAAACGAACAATAAAAAGTAGCAGCAGGACACGCAGTGGTTCAGGTATCGGACGACATGTACGTGCCAAACTTCCACGTCGTCACGGCATGTACAAAGGCCATAGAGCTGACGAAGCGCGTTTGGCAAGACGAACGAGAGGCGTCCTAACGGAGTGGACCGTTCGAGAACAACGATTCAACTGCATCATGTGTTCGACAAAACCAAAGTGCGAGAAGAAAACGCCCAGCAAGGGGTCATTGCGGCTGTCCAAACCCATCTATTGGGCAAGGCCGGCCGGGATAACATAGGGTAAAATGTCATGAACCTTCGTGCTGTGGGTATCACTTTCACTGCGGAACAAGCCGCGAGTTTGCCGGAACGAGAGTATCAAGAGGTGGCGGAATGTACCGTAATTGTGCGTGTTATCGCACCCCCGTGTTAGTGTTTTTGTATAGCGTACTTCTCCACATCTAGGAGGGTGCGAACACCAACTGATATCTCCCCGGAAAGCCCTCCACGAGATGTTTCCAAAACCACCCTTTTCGGAGGTGATGCCTCCCTGGTTGTGGAGAAATATGCTGTAGAAAAGCGCTAACACGGGGGTGCGATAACGCGCACAGTTACGGTATTCCTCAACCGCCCATCCTCCCCTCCACGAACTCGCAGAGAACTACAAAGCTCCGGTCTCAAACGCGTACCACTTGATGTACCGGAACGTGTCGAAAAAAAAAAAGACCAACCGATGGCGAGGTCCGCAACACTTTCAATGCATCCCTCCCAGCAGCAGACGGCAGCTACCGTTGTCCCTGGCCTACCTGCAAGTGGCTGCAAAGGTAGGCGTTCCAGCAGAAGAAGATAACGTACGAGAGCAGCTCGTGCACCCTCTTCTTGGCCCTGGCCTTGGCGAGAACGAACACAATGGACTGGACGTACAGGAAGGTTCGGCTCAAGCACCTATCGAGGTAGTTCGGGCGCGATGCGAACAGGAAAAAGGGTTCGATCGGCGGCTGAGGCCACACAAGAGGGCCAGAGGCAAACGAGGGATGCGGTGAATGGTGCAGACACCTACAAACAGCCCAGCAGCATTGCTCGCAATCCCGCCAAGCAAGAAAAACAGAGTTTGAGAGAGCTGTGAACAAACTTCACAACGGCAAGCGAGGAGCCGGGGAACGAGGTCGGAGACCGCGGAAGAGGCAAGGCAGGTAACTCTCTGGTCGGGGAAAAACACACTGCACTGCTGTGCCAAACCAAAAAACGCTAACATGAGGGAGCACAAAAAACCCACAAAACATGATCCGTGCCAAAGACAGCGCGCTACACTCAGAAAGGTGGAGACTACTATTCAATCTCACACGAGAGAAAATACGACGTGGTGGATCCCCCGCTAAACACGTTACACGGGACACAGGAAACGCGTGACATTCACCCACACAATACGCCAACCCACACGACGCAACAGATCATACGTTCTTAGTTCTGGCGAAGCACGAAAAGTTGACAAGGGGTCGCCCTGATACGTACACGAGACAAGGGCTCGGGCGCCCGAAATGGCTCATGACCTTCTCATCTCTGACGATACGGCACAGTGGGTACACCAATCAGAGGGCGGCAGCGTCCCGCATGCTGCTCACATGAGGGGGTAGAAAAGAAGGTGCTGCACGGACACAAGGCACCGACCAAGGAAGTCGTAGATCATGATCTTGTCGTGGTACACCGAGTACAACGAGGCGAAGAACTTGGGCGAAATCGCCATGAACGGGAGATGCTGGATGTCCGGGTCTAGCGACGAGCAAGAGAAAAGGGTTCGTCAATGGTTGGAAAGCGTGAGAGAGAGATCAGACACGACGACAAATTCTGTATTATTATTGTTGTATCTGGATAAAGTTCCTGCTAAGCATACGCCGCCATTAAAAATAGGACGGAAACACACACAAACACACACAGGCAGCTCTATTCGGACCATATCCGTAACTTCGCCACACCTGACAAGAGGAGTTGAACGATGCAAATATTCTCGATTCCCCTTAATCATGAGTGCGAGATACGCCGTAATGTGTCAGGCTCACACGAGAGCGAACCCGCCACGTACGGCGGTAGGACCAGGGTGTCCGGATCAGTTCGGGGCATACGCAAAAAGAAAGATAACACAGACCACTGCCGTACGGCATCCGACGGCACCACACTCTATGTTTCGCCGTCCCAGAAATACGGACACCCGCTCACCGCAGTGTACATCGTTGCACACGACGTGGTGGATGTTGTGCGAGTCAATCCACCATTGAGGCCCGATCCCGAGAAGGGGAAGGATAAGGCAGTACGCCGTGAAGTCGTCCGAGGCTGTGAGGCGGGAAAAACACAACAGACGGCGACAATGTAACCACCGTGTGGTGAGCGCCCGGATTCTCAAATGGTCTGAAGAGGGGAACATGTGGGTTTCCGTGTTCAGAATTGTTCAGCTTCGCGGAACGGGTGTTGACGGCACAGGAAAAAAAAATATCCGTGAAGGGGTGTGGGTTCTATCCTAGTGTCGTTCACTTTTCGAAAGTCGAACGGAAAAAAACAAGCTCAAGGAACCACATTTCTATGATCACCGGCCACGGTTTGACCGCCGATGCTTGTCCAAACCGCATGGCCTTTGCGACTCATTGCTATCCTCCGCCGTCATATGGGAAGACAAGACACGAGGTCATGTAGGCCAAAAACATGGCTGTACAGGTATCAGCCCACTGATACATAGGGGTGATGTCCCCCAAAAGAAAAAAATAGTAAACGGCGGCGAACCCTCACCCCGGTCAGCAGTGTGGCTGCGGTGCCCGGCATCGTGGCCTAAGAACGCCAGTTGCTGCCAATAGAAACCCACGAGACCAGCCCCACAGAGCTGTATTCCCGTGCAGTCGCGATACGTGATAACGATGTAGGCGCCAAGCGCTAGGATCGGCAGCAGAACGATGTATCTCTTGATGAAAAACCATGGATCGATCTGTGAGTGGCACGTGTCGGGGATGAAGGCGGGGTGGGGTCAAGATGAAAGCCAGGGCTTGGGGGGCACGTGCAGCTCGTTCAAGGCCGTCACTTTATCGTAAAGTATGCAAAGCACACTCCGAACGAGTTTCAACACCTTTGGGTGTCCCTTCGAATTTCTGGTCTCTATTAGAGACAGCGCGCGTTCATTCTCCGCGCTTGCCCTCTCAAAGCCTTCTTCGCCAACCTTTCGGTTATTTCCGCGAGACTGTGGTTGAGACAACTCGACAACCCGACGCCATTTTTTTCGTTTCCTTGCCCCCTCTCCAAGTTTCGCACTTGCTTGCCTGTATTGCACGGTTCACCGACAACGATCGAGGTGCTCGTCCGCAGCGCCATAAGACAGTAGTGCGAACCAAGGGATCAATCAACCCAAACCCAAACCTGAAACCACAACGCTAACGCGTAACCGCGCCACCATTGACAGTTTTTTCTGATGTATACCCGTCCCCCCCTTCTTCACCTCGAACAGCCCCTCGTCCTCAATCTCCTGCCCGAGGGCCCTGAAGTCCTGCACGAGCGGTGAAGGCGTATACCCCACCAGCGTGCCGATCCGGAAACCCTCGAGCTTCTGTCGGTGCCGCGGCTCACGGTGAAACGCCTCGAACACATCCGTTACGTCTCTGCACGATCACCCAAACAGGGGGGGGGGGGGGGGGGTTTTTCCCCAACATGAATGCTCCTAATACACTCCCCTGTGCAAATACTGGAGGAAGGGGACGGGGGAATGCAATGGGAGCCAAAGGTTGCCAAAAAAAAAAATGGCTTCCAGGGTTAACCAAAAACCAAACAGCCCGGGGGGGAATCAATTTCCTGCCCATTTTTTTGTGAAAAAAGGGAATTTTCCCCCACCCGGGCCCCCTCTTTTTTAAAAAATCAATAAAACACAAAGGAAGGGGTACTGAAATGGAGGTCAAATTGGCTGGACAAATTTGGGGGAAATAAAAACAACGGGCCCCCTCTGCCCACTGTCGGGGTTTTCTCTTCGGGGTTTTTTGACTCTGCCTGTCCCCCATTTTATCCCGACCCTACAAACAACCTACCGGCCCACCTTTTAGGGCAGCCCTACAAACAACCCCCCCCAAAAAGTGATGAGGGTGCAGTGCCCCGGTACATGGCATACGCAGCAGCAGTACAACAGACCATGGAGTCTGAAAAAGCCCTTTCGCTTGAATCTGAGGTTCGTCTGACGGCATCACACAGCAGTGTCAGACCCAAGTTCCAAGAACAAGTCTGCCGCGTCAAACCACGGAAGCCCGTGTATGACCATACTTGTCGTTCTAGGCGCGGGATAAAGAAAACACGGTTGTTTTCCCTCGGCTTGAATCGCTGAGTCTGTGTACTGCATGTAAGGACGTACGACAGAGTCAGCCAAGTTCAGTGTGCAGGGGACTGAATCTCTGCAGTTGTTCACAGGCACATGCACGACCTCACGTATACAGAGTTGTCTTTTTTTTTTCTTAATGTGACACAACCCATACATCCCCATCCACAACGTCTAATAGGTAGATAACAATGAATTCATAGCGTCAGCGGAAACGATCTGTGTTTCTACGGTTTTCCGAGCAGCACACAGCGATATCTTCCCTTTGGTGTTCGTTGGGCTCTTCGAGTCCAAACACACCAAGCTGTGTGAGCTTGGGAAACGTCACAACCAACTGGTAGCTGGCGGCCAGCTGCGGGCCGGTCTACTTTTTCTGTCATCTTGTGATGATATTTGTGCCCTCATTGAGCCCACTCCGGAGGTATCATAAAAAATTGCTCATGTGCAGCAGCCTGACGGGGACCGGCCTTCGCGAGACTAATAAGTTTGTGAGGAAACAGAACAGGGAGGGGGGACGGAGACCCTAAATTTATTCCCGAACCTAACCCTACCTAACTCCCCTGGTTGTATGCTGTATCCAACACGTGATGGCTACTGCCTGATGGAGCACCTGCGATTTTTTTCTCATGGTGCACCGTTGTCAAGGCCCCGTTGTCGCGCGGTTGATCCTACGGACAAATAAATCGACTCCGCGAAAAAAATGTGATTTAACCGCTCCGCTCCGCGACATGAACATCCGGTCCGTGAGGCTTTTCCTATCGGAAAAACCGCTCCGCCCCGCCCCGCTCCGCCCCGCTCCGCTCCGCTCCATGAAAATTTCAAAATTCGAAAAGAGCAAAAAACGTTCGCGGAGCGATCCTACAATACCACTCGTGAAGAATCCTGAAAAATTCGTACGCCATGAAATTTCTTCGTAAGCTAGTACATGCAGTCCTTACATAGTGGTCCAGGAAGAAGTTTAAGGTGCGTACTTGTATGAATACCTTGGAAACACGTCGGCACAAGACTATGTAGTCTACACACCCATCCATTTGTATCGAAGGGTGATTGCGAGCTGGTCGGCACGGGTACACATGTGTCCTGGTGTGTTTTAGCCGATTTTCCACGAGGGCTGCTGTGTAACACATTATTCGAGAGTTTAACACTACAACAAAGTAACATTCCAGGTAGATAGGAATATGCCGTGTGGAGCCTCCAAGCCTACAAGCATCCCGGCGAAGTTCCTGGACCTTGCTTGGGACTTTATCCATCGGCAAAAAAACACACCGCCGCTCAAACAACACACCGAACATTCATATCTATCCAAGTCCATCCCAGGGATGACATGCAGCAAAAAATAATATAATAGTGCTACGTGTGACCCAACGGCGTTTCTACTAGTCTCCGAGGAGCGTACAGCGACATCTTCCCCGTGGGTAACAGGCTCAACAACAGCAGTTTGGTGGCCGTCATGTTTTGCATGTTGCAACGCATGTGAAGATAGATAGATTCGCTGATGGTTGCAAAAGAAGCTTTTTCCCAAACGTTCGCCAAGTTCTACAACGGGCGCGCACCGCCGATTCAGGCAATTGGGTGAGTGTTGGGTCTGGATGTGGAAGCATGCGGCGGGCTACGGGAGGCTGCCAGCCTGCCAGCAGCCTTCGACGTACTGCCGATTCTCCCATTAAGCCACCAGCGCGAGAGGTACAACTGCCGTACGGATCGCATGAGATACTGCTGTAGATCTGCCGCCCAAACGACAACCACGCCGTCAAAGTTGTAACCGTGACAACTCTAACTCTCTCCGTTCCTCTCCTCTCTCCCCTCTCCCCTCTCCTCTGGATGGCACCCACCTGCCGGAGATGTCGACGATGTTGCGCTCTCCTCCCGGGTGGTGCGGAGCCCACTTGCCCACGTCGTAGACACCGTCCCCGATGACGACCCAAGCATCATTCGCTTTGCAGTGCTTGTGGACCGCGTCCATCGTGACCTCCGGGTACGTTTTCGCCTCCCGTCTCTTGGCAGCAGCCGCAGCTTCGTCGCTCAGGGCCCGCGCATCCCGCGCCTTATTCTTCGCTGCGTCTCTTCTCCAAGAAGAAAGGGTCACGGCCAGCAGAGACGCGAACACCACGCCAGCCACCGAAAGCAAGTATCCCGGCGGCTCCTGCACGTCCGCGAGGCAAGACTCCATCATCCTGCAGTGTGCAGCTCTCCAACAACACAGGCTGCTATAAGAACTGCTGCGGTCTGCGCTGGTTTGCGAACGAACGGGGCAGATACGCGTGGATGCGGCCACCGAGGTTTTAGCACCGTTCAAAATGTTCGGCCATCGAGTTTTTTTTTTCTCAATGTTATGTTGCTCCTAAAGGGCAAATGATGACGTATGCATACCTGTGTCTTACCTTCTACCTGGTACCATATTAGGAAAAATAGATACACGCACAGAAAGACTACCCATTCGAGATATACCCACGTTATGGATGCCGACGGATGGATCATGTGGTGATTGCCTATAATTTACCGGACCGGCAATCGGCTTGGCGGCGGTGCGACACGGCCGCGCGAATGGTTGAGGCTTCTACAGGACAGGTCCGAAATATAGAAACCTCATTTGGACCCAGGGTCACAACATACGTATTTTCCGTCGCCACGTTGTCGAGCACAGGTTTTTAGACGAGTGTTACAGTATAACAGAGGTGACGCGAAGTTGGAAAACAACAAAATAACAAAATTACAAATACGGTAGTTATCCTACTTGTAGGATCCGCCGCTGATAGATGGGCGTGGTCTATAAACCCAATTATTTTCTCTTGAAAATTCGGGCCTCATTTCCTGACCGAGCAAATGTCTTATTTGCGAGCCGCTTCGAAGTAGTGAACTGGGTACAAAGAACACGGCATGCCCCCATCAGCCCCCCCTCGTGTACCGCACTGGATGCAGTGTGTGGCGCAGGAGGTATGGCGCAAGGCATACGCCTTACCGCCATATACATTCGCCTTACCGCCATCAGTCGTGAATCGTTTATGTCACCTTGATTCCAAACTTGGGGGATTAGTCGAGCATCCTATAACAATCCCTTCACGTCATTCATACTTGTAGACAGCGGTCAGTCATATGCATGCTTAGAAACATACTTGCAGCACGTCGCAGTTTTTCGGCCTTATGGTGTCGACTTTAACATGAATTAATTCCTCAACGATGCGCCTAAACATATGGATTCACTTTTTAGGCGCTGGGAGTATTCGAAAAGCCTTTAGGCAGCATGGGACAACGAGGTTGTCGTGCACCGACAATGCGTGCCAGACACACGATGCCGTTTCCGCTCGGGGTTGAATGAAGTCCCAGGGAATTAAGCATAGGTCACGCACAAAATCACGCTTGATTACACACAGTTTCGTCATTTTCCGATCCCCCTCGCAGTCAAACGCGCCGTATCGTGCGGGTTACGGCCACAGAGTCAACAACCAAACCAGCCCGTCCCCGATGAGCAGTCAAGGGCGATTCTCCGCAAAAATACACGAGCATCGTCGAACCGTTGTCTTGCCGCCCCTCCCCCCGCCTCTGTAAACCCACCGAAGTTCGTCCAACCCTAGACTACAGACGTCGTGTACGCATCAATCCCCAAGAGCACCAGGCCGACAAGCTCGCCTTGTTTATGGGACGGCCGGCGTCATTTGGACCCGGCCTGAAAGTACCTCAAGGATACTGAGTCTCGGATGGCAGCGTTACTGCTGTGTCCTAGGTTGCTCGGACAAAAGAGCCACGATGCGGTGAGTGCCCAAAGCTGTGTCCACGACACCACCTTCCGAGTCAAATGTAGCTACTAAATTGCACACGCACGGACATTTCTGCGGGTGTAGCAGGAACAGTTTTGGGTGGGCGCGCCACGCCAAATCCATACAAGGCAGAAAAATCTCCAATGTAAAGAGGAACCAGCCCCGTTTGACGATCCGCAATAAAAACGTCTCACTATTCCAGCAAGAACAAAAGGCAACCCCCCTCCCCCCGACCACCACCACGATAGATAGACTTGATTTATATACACGTAGACCTTTTCTAGGTCAGAGCGGGGTTAGCGTGGTCGATCGCCCCTTGGCGTTCATTGCCAATCAAAAGGGTTCTAGGGAGACATTCCCAAACAAAATAAGAGAAAAAAAACGAAGAACCGTCGAGACCCTTGCACGACGTGTCTCCCGCAGCCCAGAAAACATGCAAGTATTTCGTACTGATCTACCGCGTTCCGTATCACAGCTTCGCCCCCAGTCTACAGAACAGAAGGACGAAGCAACACGGAGAAAGGAATCGAGTACACTCAACACCGCGCATTCCGCAGGCGAGGGTTACTCGAGTCACGGTTGTTTGGCTTTCGCCGACCGGGCCACCATTCATTACACCAAGCGCGAGTAAGGAGGGGGGGCGTCCCTCCGTAAACCCTTATCGTCGCCCGCCGCGCGCTCTTGCAGCAGCAGAAGCCACCCGAATCACACAGACCACTGCAACATGTTCGGGTCGTTGTTGGGGTTGCGGAACTCTTGGCTTGACGCTGGTGCCTTCGGTTTCTTCGGCTGCGATCGTTTCTCGACTGCCTGTGCTCTCAGTTCTCTCTGGGAGGGAAGAACGCCAAACGGGAGGCAGCAGGAACGATGACATCAGATTAGCGGGGGCGAAGTGCAAACTAACGTGTCAATTAACGGCGAGGGAGGGGACGCGCGCATGGAACAAGGTAAAACCGGGCGCCGAAATCAGGGGAGCGGTTGTGGTATTTAGCATCAGTTGATTGTAGCTTTTATGATCGAAGAAGCGTCGCAATCGAGTCCCTAACACCTTAAAAGGCCTCGGTGCGGTCGCTGCCAAACCTACCGCAAAACTCGAAGTCTTACGAACCTTCGCAACCCGCAAAGGAGGAAGAGGGGATGGTGCGGATCGATCCATGATCCACAAACCATGCAAGGAACAGACCCGCGTCGGTTCGGGGGTTCGGAAGGCAGGGGGCGCCACTGCTGTGATACAAAATCACTAGCAGCAGGCGGCAGCAAAACCGGCACTGTGCCCGACATTTGCGGACTGAGCAGCGCTCTACCTTATCCTTGGCAAAAACACAACTGGCAAAAGCACAGGCGACAAAGCAGCAAACAATTACATCAAGACACGGAAAAAGACCGAAACAACGCCGCCAACAAAGCAACATTTTCACCTGCCGCTGCCGCTCGGAGTCCGTCAAATTGTGATCAAATATTCGCTCCGGCTCGTCTTGTACTGCCGCTGGCGGCACGATAAGACACGGTGCATGGGAGGGGGGAATGGGCCAGCAGCAGCAGCAGCAGCAGCAGCAGCGGCAGCAACGACGACAGCAGCATTGGGATCGCGGTAATCCTCAGCGGGTGGGAGGCGGACTCGAGCAAGCAAGCTGTGGGAGGATGGCTCTCATGTACGATCTCCGAGGTCCGATCGGTAAAGCCACAAGAGCGTCGAGGCGCGACAAGCTGAAACACAAATTGGTCCTCGTGCAGGTTGGTAGGGGGGCTATCACGCATGGAAAAGAGAAACGCATGAAGAGGCAATCACGTCGTAATCAGACTTCGGCACACGTCTCATATCTCGTGGTTTGACCATGCGCCAGACCATGCGCCTACTTGGCGGCGCACCAAGTCCTTGTTCTGCGCGCCAATTCCATACAACCCGTCGCTTCTTTTCGCGCTGCAAATAGCTACTGCGTCACCAGGGTTCAGCTCAGCTCACCTCGCGCTGCCGCTGCCTCGTCTGCCCTTCTTTGTCTCTCTTGCTGGTGCTCCGCCGCGGTCCCTAGTCGTTGCCCTCCTCCGCTACCACCTGTTTGTAAAACGACATGACGACGAATCAGCAGCTTCGAGAGAAAGGTGTGAAGTGCCCCCGCTCTTCACAAGTGATGCAAATCGATCTGTTGCGAAAGGCGAAAGAGATCAATTAACTTTCTCTACCACCTCTGACGAGAAACTCGACCACCTGAACCTCTTGCTACGATAAGGGGGCGTCAGGTGTACTCGTAGCACCTGCATAGTGCTGGACGATTTGTTGGGAATACATGCACGGAGACTACGGTAAGAAACTTCTGTTGGATTTCCTTGAGGCAAATTGGCTGTTTAACGTCCGTTTGCGGGGAATCTTTTCGCATTTTTTGCACGTCAGACCTATACCAGGAGAGGCCCACTCCTACTTCGTACTTCCTGTCTACAAGTCTCGTCTGCAAGTCCTGCAAGTCCTGTCTACAAGTAAAGGGGTGCCAAAAACCTTTCTGTCTCAACCAGCCACACAAACATTGCCCTATCCGATCTATGGACCAGGGGGTGCACAGAGTTAGGCAGACAATGCAACTCCTAGAGCTACTCGGTCATGTAGCGGCCTATGTTCGCCCGGAACTCCTTCATTTTCAACACCCAGAAAAAATGGCCTCCACATTGCGTACGGCAGGCGGGCCAAAATACATCAGGCGGGTCAAAAAACATTAGCAGCAACATCTTCACAGCGGTAGTTGACTTGCTCAGAGATAGGGTCACACGCTAATGACCCGAGCTGCTTGAAAAAGAGCGTATACCCCCTACTGCAACACGGCTCCTTCAGGCCCTACTTTAAATTCGTCGTATGCGAACAGAAACAACGTAAGGGATGTGGGTTATGTGTTGTGTCGTGTTTTTCGTCCAACTTATTATGGCGACAGTCCCCCCTTTCTTCGTGGTGGGACGTGCACTACACGTTTCACTGCTGTAAGTACTACACTTCACAGTAGTGGATTTTTTGTACAACTGTAATAACCATCGAGGAACACCCAGGAGGGGGAAACCACTGGGCTTTTTCCTTCCTTTTCATTTTCTTTTCGTGCCCCACCTTCCTCCTGCGGTGTGTGAAGGGGGTGCAGAAGACGAATTTTGATGTTGACTAATTTTGAAATCAAACGCAAGAGCACCAGAAATTGCACAACAGACACACCAGACCAGTAGAAAGGCACCGCGAAAAACAGCAATCGTTGATTCTCGCACAGGACGGCAGTAGAGGCTGCTCAAAACATACATTTCACGCGTCTACCTCCACACGCCTCCTTTGAAATCAAGATAAAAATTCGCACCATTCTAAATTCTAGTCACAAGAGCCAAAACGGAAGGCGCTCAAACAAGGTCAATTTTGAGGGTTAGGTGTCGCATTCTATTGTCATCAGTAGAGGACATCATGAAGATGGGTCGTGTGTGCTGGCACGGGCAGGTTTGCTACTGGAGCTGAAATATCGAAGGTCGCAGCAGCCTCTGAAAACAGTCCGAAATCTGCGCCGGAACCAAGCGGCATCCAACATTTGTCACAGCTGTGCTCGCCGCCACGGACCCCAATCTCCTGAACTGCGGGTTTACAGCAGTAGCTGATGCCACTAGCTACTGCTGACGACCCGTGGTTCAGGGGTTTACGACCCGTGGCGGTGAGCACGGCTGTAACGAATGTTGGATGCCGCTTGACTCCGGCAGATTTCGGACAGTTTTCAGAAGTTGCTGCGACCTTCGATATTTCAGCTCCAGCAGCAAACTTGAACGTGCCAGCACGCACGACGCCTCTTCATGATGTCCTCCACTGATGACAATAGAATCCGACACCTAACCCGTGCGGGAAGGTTGTTTTCTTTCTTTGTATAGGATTAAAGTATGGGAAAAAGAGCCAGCGTCCGTACCCCTTTTCTGCACCCCCGTAAGGTGCGTGCTGTTTTTTTTTTTATCGCGGGAAGGGTCCAGCCGCCGTCCCTTTCGCTCGTCAACGTGCTAAGGTCGAACTTTGGTACCAACGAGAGCTTTTCAGCTTTTTTTCGCTTTCGCCCGCAAATTTGTAATTTTTCACCCCATGGGGATTCGATCTCACGACTTTGCGACTAGCGGTTTCGAGGTTATTATCACTAGACCACCTGGGCGACCGTCTTCACAGGGATGCGGAGGCAAAAGAAGAAGTTCGAAAGAGCCGGTTCACACCCAAGGCATGGTGTCAAAGTAGAGCGATGCTTTCGTGTCCATGACCAATCCATACAACAGCAGCCCCCTCCGTGCACATGCTAGTACCCCAGCCATCTCCACTACACCAGCCACAGTTAGCAGCAGAATTTACAACACCCTCTGTGCGAGCTGTGCCGAAAAACGGCATTTCTATGCATACATTACTCGCTACTGCTGCTGTACTCGCAGGTATTTTAACCCCGTTCATCTTGCGTCACACTTCATGATGACCGTGTACATGAAAATATCGCACACCTTGACAGATTATCAAAGCTCGACGATTACTCGATAGCAGAAAGTGTGGCGGCGTCCAAAATGGCGGGGTTGTAACCGTCTCGTCGAGAGCTTTCCGAAAACGCATTCCTTGATTTTGGCATCCCAATCCTCTTCGGCGTGGAATCGAGCTTGCAAAAACGGTCCGGGGGTATGGTATCTTACGTACGTGCGTGAACGACACCAAGTTGCGCTGATATTGCCGTCCTATTACATACTGCGAGCTGGCTGTTGCGACTCGCTCGGAAGCAATCGTGATGACTTACCTCTCGGGGAATGTAGATAGCTGCCCGTTCCGTCATTTTTCCCGAAGCAATCACAGCAGTTCCCCATGCTGTGGCGATTGTTTCTCTGTCGACAGAACTTGCTGGGTTGGAGTTCGGAGCGAGCGCAGAGGGGGGGTCTACACTGCTAGGAACAGGACACCACAAGGGCGGTGGGGCGCACGAGGCTCCGCCAAATCATCCAATGGAGCCATCACGGCTGATCACGTGTCACATCATACATGGGATCTCCCAGGCATCAAGTCAACTCCTACTCGCTTCCCTCTCGGCCTTCTATCTCGCGACGCGCTATCCCTCGACTACCCTAGAACCCAGCACTCTTGCGGAGGTTCCCGCACAGGCGGGTCCCTCCCACGACCGGAGGATAAGACGGTGGTCCCCCCTCGATCCTCGCTCCCGCGAGCGGCGCGACTACAACCCGACGCTAATTCATTTTTCAGTTCCGGCAAGGCTCGGCGAAGCAAGGGCAGCCGGACAGGCCGTGTGTCCCCTCCCGGCCAGCGGCCTGAAGAGAAAGAGGAGGTAAAGAGGGCATGCCGAGAGATGCCTCCTATTCGGCTCAAGCTGCGGGACATGCCCCGCTTGCAGGACGGGCCGGCCGGGGGCGATGACAGCAGCAACGTCAACAAGCACAAGCGGGCAGCGGCGGCAGGAGAACCGCAGCAGAGCTCAGCCGGGATGGCTGTCGGTGCGGGCATCGCCGCGCGGACTACGGAGCAACTGGCGGACGCTTGGCGGATCTGGCCGGTGATGACGATTTCAGCCGTGCACTCGGCAGTGAAGGGCTGGTTCACACGGATGGATGCTGCCCTTCTTGGGCTTCCAAGGGGGCTAGGACCAGCGGTGTCGTCGTTGGTGAGCGAAACGCTGGTCCTGCATGCATTCGTGCTTGACCCGCAAACTTTATTCGGCAACCTCGAAGCGGCTATGCACCTTGCTCAGCGCTAGAGGAATCAACGTTGCAGTCGGAGCATTATTCTACGAACAATTTGCTCATCTTAGGGTGCCGGGCCATCTGTCAATCCGCGCATTTTTGAACTGGTTTCATGTCTCAGCTCGATTGACGCACCGAGGGACGAAAGTCCCGCCGCACCGCAAAACGCGTGCTCTGTGCGCAGCGTCGACGGGAGCAGTCAGTCGGGGCAAGCATGCCCTCGATCATGCATACGACGTGTCTCGAGGGTGGGCGTACCAACATATACGCTTCGTTGACATACTCACGGCATTGCTTCGTTTTTCACGTCAAGAGCGTAGACCCGTGGTAAAGAAGTCTGTAACTTTAGTCTACACAATTGAGGGCAACAACAGATAGCATCGTGTATCAACCACTCCTTGTAGCTACACCTCACACACCTTCATGAGTGTGTGTTGCGGTGGACGTTGGAACGCCTCCAAGCGACCAGATGGAAACAGGAAAGCATGGTGAATCTATGAATCGAGCAGAAGAGGGGAATATGCTTTCAAACTCACAGACCACAGAATCAATCCTTTCGCATAGTCATGTTCAACTGTACAGGTGCCCTACCCCTTCAGGGCACCAGATACGTGTTCGAAAACAAATACCATCGTGACATCCGGCTCAAGACCTACTAGTGCAATATACCCATAACCCTGCACATGTGCCCTATTCATCCACATGCATAGTCGATGTAAACGAAATGGCAGTGAGATGCACAACTACCGTGCGACGTGGACAGATGGCACCGGTCGGGTAGATGGCACCGGTCGGAGAGATCGCACGGACGCGTCCACAAGAAAACAGAAGAAAAAAACCGTAACAATAATAAAACCATCGCGCCTGGTGCCATCTCTCCGCCTCCTACATACGGTAACTGTTGTGAGTGCGCTATGGCTCCCTGCTTTTTTTCTGTTCATGCAGGTCCCCGAACACGGGTGCTAGGTGGTGATGCCCTCCTCTGCTATGTTGTTGATTCCTTTTGCCTCAGCCGTTTGTTCTGTCTGCCCCGCCGCCCCGTTGGGCACGCGCGTACGCTGCGCACGCAACCTCCCCTCCATCCCCCTGGCAGATTCGTCTCTTGTCGCTGGCGATCGCCGCTTCCATAGTCACCTCGGTGATCACCAGGACTTCCCAGGACCTGCTGAAGCTGCCATCGAGGGCTTCCAAGGCCGTTGGAGATCCTTCCAGGTACACCCAAGCTCTTGCTCCCGCTCTGCGTTGCTGGCATGCATGCGCAGCGTGCTCTTCTTTATCGTGTACAGAAACAATACAATATCGTTTATTTCCACAGGTCAAGAGTCAAGGATATACTCATGTTTTTCGGTTTTTGGCACCTTTTTTGGCCCGTGAAGAATGAAGTAGACGGAATGGGTGTGGCATTCAGAGGGCTACAGCACGGCCAGGACCACTGGCTTATCTTGTTGTAGTTGAAAGGTGGTGCTTGCATTGCTTCTGCACTCGGCTTCCTCGGACCTACGAGCTAACCCTGCACCCTCACGGCGAACCACAATCGAATCTGAAACCGAATTCGCAACTTTCAAGGCCCTGCCCACCACACTCCAGTTGTCGTCGCACGTTTCCTGGTGGCCACAATTCTAGCCTTAAGTCGATGTTAGCCCTGAGCCTGGTCTCAAACTTGCTCTGAGAGCGCCCGAGGCAGTCCGGAAACTTTCGATGATGGCGTGAACCCATATAAGGTTGACTATCGGTAGCATGTTGCAAACCCAGTCGCCTTTCCAAGCTCGCTATTCCGTCTATGTAGATGGAAGGTCAAGATAAACACCTGCCCCCCAATCCCTTTCTTGTCGCCACCAATTCCGTGTTCTGGAAGTTGGCCTTGAGAACATCTGTGTACACACCGCTTGCGCGTTTTTGTTTTGAGGCTATCAGTATCGCCCCGGGTGTCGTTTCGTTATCCGGTACTCTCTCGTTGCTGTCGCACTTTTCGAGATTCCTTCACCCGTTTTTTTGGTGGGTTGGCGTACGTACCCGCACACGACAACGTACTACTGAAAATATTTGCCTCTCTCTCTCTTTCTCTCTCCGACTCTCTGTCTCTCTGTCGTCCTTCCCCAAATCCCGCTGTCGGTGTGCTTGCGGGGTTACCCTCACCACGCTCACGCGTCGGCTACAGCTACACTCCGGGTAGGCACAACTGGGTGGCGGCTCCCTCTCGGTGGGACCCCCACTACTGCAGCGTGTGCAGCGAAGCCATCGCATGGAACTCAGACGCCGGCGTCCGTTGCCAGGTGGGTCGTCATGCCGTTGTAGATTCGTCAATGATCGTGGAGCTCCTAGGCTGCAAATTATCGTGACATTCATGCTAATTGGTGTATGGCGCTACTGCTGCAACGTGACGTGGCAGCAACGCCGTGGGGGTTCGTGGGTAGGTATTGGAAGTCAACGAATGCGTGCTACGAGATCAGACTGAGGCAGCGTTAGCAATCGTGCTTGACGGGCTCGCCAGTTGTTTCTAGCGTGACCCTTGCTGTTCGTCGGCTACGCATGGTTAGGGGCGGCGGTTGTTATTTCCAAGACACTGTTTTTTTTTTCCAGTCTCCGGGAGGAAGCTTTTGGCCATAGGTTGTTTTGTGTCCCCAGTTATTCCTTGCCTTCCGGTAGTCTAGAGTTGATCAACTCTCTCGCGCTTGTGCGGAGTAGAAAGAATAACACCTCTTTACCGTTCGGGAACTGCGGTTTAGCCCACCCTACCGTTTGCGGAACGGAGGCGTTTCCCAGTGCTGCGCCCCCTCCCCCCCCTCGAACGTTTGGTCTTAAATGCCGCCCTCTTGTTCCGCGACGTCCCTCATCGTTCCGTCGAAGATTTGCGGGTCGCATGCGCACGCGAGCTGCAGCAAGCGCGCCCATAAGGAAGGGTTCGGATGCAAGACCCTGTGCAGCGCGGACGTGGAGATGTCTCACAAGCGGCTGTATCACCCACTGGTATGTGTGCTGCTCGTTTTGTGGTTGTCATGGTGGTTATTACGCTACGAGTAGTAGTGTCGCTAGCATCAGTTCCATTCATCTTCGGTGTTTTTTTTTTTATCATTTTGTTCTGCTGTCGACCGTTCACTGACCACTTACATGTTGCAATTTCATCGTAAACACGACATGGTTATACTGTTGCTGTGCGGCGGACGTTTATAGGAGGAGGCCGAGGACGAAGACGACGACGCTTGCCTCCTCCCGGAACCGGAGGAAAAACCTCCTCCTGTCATGCGGCACCAGTGGATGCGCGGGAGCATCGACGACTCTCAGGTATACACGGCGTCAGTGGGTGCACGCACGAGGTCTGCGCGTGCTTTGTGTGTGTGTTGGCTATTCGCATGGAACGCGCCTAGTGGGCTGGCCGTGTGAAAATACGTCAGTCTCATTGCGATTAATAACGGAGAACTGTGTGTGGGTGTTCATTATGTGCATCGACCTTGCCTTCTAACCGGCCGACGTAATCATTAGACTTGAGTCTCAGTGCGGCTAATAACGGAGAACTGCTGCGTGTTTTTTTTTTTGTGCCGTGCTGCGAATCTGGCAGCCGTGTGCCGCCTGCGGGGGTTCTTGCGCTGGCAGCGGCGCCACGGGACAGCACGGGTTCTCCTGCGCCTGGTGTAAGCTACAGGTGAACCTGCCGTGATGCAGAGAGGAGAGTTTTTTTGCCGGAGTCTCGTCGGCACAACGCTAGCGGTACCAATAGTTGTGGCCAGGTTTTGATGTAGTGCGGTCCCTATGGACAACCCGGCGCTGTTTTGGTAGAGAACAGGATGTGTTTGGTCACCAACACATTACTCGCATACTCTCCTCCAAGGACATTTAAAGCATTGTGGTGTATTCTTAGTTTGATTCGGCACCACCTACGAACGACCCCATCGCCTTCCCCCAGCAACGGTTGAGATGCCGGTTGAAGGTCGCATCCGTGCCATCACCCGGTGATGTACTACGCCGAAAGGTTCGTACACAGCCGTCACCGTCGTCGTCGTCCATGCCACCATAGTTGCCTTAGAGGATTGTGCGATGTTGTCGTTTACCACTTTTTAGCTGGAGAGGATGGTGTACCGCTGGCTGGAGAGGATTTGTGATGTTGTGTGGTTGGCAGCGCCTCGGACATGGGAAAAGTACCGGCCTGATACGCTTCTGTGTCCCCTTTCGCCACCCCTATCGTCGCCACGCAACATGGAATTTAAGCCGTGGAAGACCGGCCTTGTGGCCGGGACGGACGTGATTACTTGCCAAGGAAGGAAAACTCAAACGAACCGGGTGTCATCTCGCTCACAGCAGTAGTGTTTCGTCGATGTTGTGAAGAACTTTTCGACGAACGAGGTGGCCAGAAACTGCTGGTCTGGTGCTTGTTTTTTAGGTTGGTGCCCCTCGTTGTTGTCGACTTTATCTTCGTTTCGCCTCCTTCAGGTGCACGAGGGCTGCATCTCCCGCATGGCCCACACGGAGTGCTCGCTCGGCCGACACCGCCGGTTGATCCTCCCGCCGACCGCCGTGCTCAAGGACCAGCCGCGAAAGAAACGTGAGAGGACCCCCCGCCAGGGAGGTGTACTCATTTGAACCCATGCCGTAGTCGTAAGACCATTGACGTCGCGCCCAGACGGAGCGACATGCGGGGTTTTGGCCGGCCCAGGCTAATTAGCCTACATTTCACAAGGATGACCCGGAAGCTGGCCATTTCTCCCTCGAGGGTGTGTGTGTGATATCGTATGTATCAGTTTCTCCTTATTTGGTCAAGCAACAGCAGTCGTCGCCGCAGTAAATAATTTCGGTTTAAATTGCCTTTTTCCCGCGTAAGCTTTTTTTTTTTCACAACCATCGTGGCCCTTCAGTTGGAAAGCATGGGGCACGGCCAACAGTTTTTTTAGATGCTTCCCCCGCGTTACAGACGCTCAAGAGTATTAGGAAATGTCCGTCCATGAAACGAGGACCGCTGTGTTCCCCTCTAGCTCGAGCCCAATCACTGCTCTACTTCATCACCTTCCCCTTGAAATATCCGCTCCTCCCCCCCGCCCCCTACATCCTGGCATTCCTATTGGTATACTGTACAGGCGGTCTCATCCGGGACGCGGTGAGCAAGGTGCGGAGGGTCCTTCCCGGACACCGCGAAGACGAGTGCGATCCGTCTTCGTACAGCGTTGATCCGAACGACCCCGAAGCGGTAGCGCCGGCGACGGGGGGAGCATCGGCCGGGCAAGGCGCAGGCTCTTCGGACGGAGGAGGGTCCGACCAGGGGAGCGGATTCGTGGAGGCCGTGAGGGAGGCGGCGGCGGCGCTGGACGTCTCGGGGGCGAAGGGGGTCGGGAGCCGGCTTGCCGGAAAGGTGCGAGATAGGGTTGCCAAGGTGGAGCGTGGAAGTCCCCCGAATGGGATCGATCGGGTGCACGCACCTGCCAGCAGGCGTTGATCGCGTCGTCGCTGCGAGATGTTCTGTTTTGCCACGTATGTACGGGTCACGTTTTTTTTTTTTTAGGTCCCCGAACACCGATCGCATGGTTGGTAGATGATACGGTTGCCTTCGGAGGAAATACATCAAGTTTCTTAGGCCTTGGAACGAGCGAGAGTTAACGATGAACGCTGCTGTTTTTGTCCACCCACTGCCGCCACCGCGGGCGCCGTCGTGCAAAGGTTCGGGACGCCGGCGAGAAGGTTTTGGATGCCGGGTTCGACGTGGCAGCTGGCCTTGATGTCGCCGGGGACAGCGCTAAGGAGGGGGGGCGGCGGCTGGCGGAGAAGGTGTTGGACGCCATGCCGATCGAGCTCGAGGACGATGTGTGGGAAGAAGCGTTAAAGGGGGAGGGGTACAGGAGTGTGAACAAGGATGTAGATGACGATGGTGGTGGTGGTGACGGTGATACTGAGCCGCCGCCCCCTGCGACTAGTATTCGTGAGTCCGAGGTCGACGGAGTGTGGGAGGAGGCCCTCTCCCTGTCGGCTGCGGCGAAAGAAGAGGAGGGGGAGTCGCCGCTCGCAGGCGATGCCGAGGGGGAGAGGACGGCCGCGGGGACGGCCGTGAAAGGGTTGGCGGGGGGAGATGAGGCGTCATCGAGGCGCGGGGGCCAGTCATTGCGACCGAGGCCAGCAGCGGGGGAAGAAACAGCGGAAGAAGCGGTCGCGGAGAGGGGAGGGGATGAGCGGACCATCGGGTGGTCGTCTGAAGAGCGAGGGTCTCCTGGCATTGCAGCAGATGACGGTGATGGTGATCAAAGGGATGTCGATGGTGATGGCGACGGTCAAGGTCGGGGTGAAAGCGGCGGCGCGTGGGTTTCGGGGAAAAGTGCGGACGGTGAAGGCGGTGTCGGAGAAGAAAACAACGTTGCCGTGACAGCGGCAGCTGCAGAGTCGGGCCCCGCGGGAGGGGATGCACCGGCGACATCATCCCCTGACGACGAAGCTTGGAGCGATTCGTCGTCGCACGAGGACGGGGGCCTGGAGGATGATGACATCCCTGAGGGGGCTCGGGAGACGATCGTGTCGG